CTTCATTACTGTTACCAGAGTTTATGATAATTGTTGTAACATTTGTTGTTGTCAGCGTTATATAATAAGTCTAAAATTTACATTTCATATTTTTGTATACTCTAAACAATACATAATATATATATATATAGAATGTATGTATGTATATATGTGTAATATATTTATATATAAATTTTATAAAACAATATATAAGTGTCTATAACAATCTTTATGGATATAAAATCTTGAATAGTTGAATAGTTGCGTCAACTTGTTCTGGCAGTCATTTAAATCATAATGTTTATATTCCATAAATTTTACTATAATAATTTACAACATTATTAATATACTTTCTGAAGATATATGTACATGGATAAATCATATTTAGCGCGTTCAGAGTTCTTAAAGCTCACGCTACAGGGAGCCACGGGTACCATCTAGCAATATTAAGGTGTTTCATTCCTTTCTTACATGTCAGATGTTAATGCTAGAATACAGTTTATTATTTGTACATATCACAGAGGTATACATATAAATACACTGTGGGTTAGAAAAGAAGTGGTTAAGGTGTTGGAAAGACGTTGCAAATACGCTCATCAAATTTTTGGAAATAAAACATGTATGCTCTTGAAGATGGTGAGAATTTAATTGCGTATGCTCTTGTGTATAACGTTTCTGTGAATGTAGAAAGAAATTAAATAATATTATGCAATTAAATGATACTGATATAGTTTTTATAGTTTCCATTATATTTGTTGCTCATTTAAATGTTCTTTTATGTACACATTATAAAATTATTAATTCCAATGATTGCCAAAATGAGTAATTAAATTTACTTTTATTTAGATCAATATGACGATGAGGATGCCGAAGAGATTTCATCAAAACTTTGGCAAGAAGCATGCTGGATTGTTATTAATGCTTATTTTGATGAGAAAGGTCTTGTACGACAACAACTTGACAGTTTTGATGAATTCATTGAAATGTCTGTTCAAAGAATCGTTGAAGATTCACCCCAAATTGATTTACAAGCAGAGGCACAACATACTTCTGGTGAAATAGAAAATCCAGTTAGACATTTATTGAAATTTGAGCAGATTTACTTATCTAAACCTACTCATTGGGAGAAAGATGGTGCTCCATCTCCTATGATGCCTAATGAGGCAAGACTTCGAAATTTAACATATTCAGCACCATTATATGTTGATATAACTAAAACAATTGTAAAAGATGGAGAAGATCCTATTGAAACACAGCATCAGAAAACATTTATAGGAAAAATTCCAATTATGTTGAGGTCAAAATATTGTTTACTTGCTGGTTTATCTGATCGTGACTTAACAGAATTAAACGAATGTCCATTAGATCCTGGAGGTTATTTTATTATTAATGGGTCAGAAAAAGTACTTATTGCACAGGAAAAGATGGCAACAAATACAGTTTATGTTTTCAGTATGAAAGATGGTAAATATGCGTATAAATCAGAAATTAGATCTTGCTTAGAACATAGTTCACGTCCCACATCTACATTGTGGATTAACATGATGGCAAAAAGTGGGGCTAGTATCAAAAAATCTGCCATAGGACAACGTATTATCGCAATTATACCATATATTAAACAAGAAATTCCTATTATGATTGTGTTTAGAGCACTTGGATTTGTAGCTGATCGTGATATTTTAGAACATATCATATATGATTTTGATGATCCTGAAATGATGGAAATGGTGAAACCTTCTTTAGATGAAGCTTTTGTAATACAAGAACAAAACGTTGCTTTGAATTTCATTGGTACTAGAGGTGCAAGACCTGGAGTAACAAAAGAAAAACGTATTAAATATGCCAGGGAAATATTACAGAAAGAAATGCTTCCACATGTAGGCATAAGTGATTTCTGTGAAACTAAAAAAGCATACTTCCTTGGTTATATGGTACATAGATTACTCTCAGCATCTCTTGGCAGAAGGGAGTTAGATGATCGAGATCACTACGGCAATAAAAGATTGGATTTAGCCGGTCCACTATTGGCATTTTTATTTAGAGGATTATTTAAAAATTTGATGAAAGAAGTACGATTGTATGCACAGAAATTTATAGACAGAGGGAAGGACTTCAACCTTGAGCTTGCTATAAAAACTAAAATTATTACAGATGGTTTAAGATATTCACTTGCAACAGGTAATTGGGGAGATCAAAAGAAAGCTCATCAAGCTAGAGCTGGTGTATCACAAGTATTAAACAGATTGACATTTGCATCAACGCTATCTCATTTAAGGAGAGTAAATTCTCCAATTGGAAGAGACGGAAAACTAGCTAAACCTCGTCAGTTACATAATACCCTGTGGGGTATGCTATGTCCAGCAGAAACCCCTGAAGGTGCTGCTGTAGGTTTGGTAAAAAATTTGGCATTAATGGCTTATATCAGTGTTGGATCTCAACCTTCTCCGATTCTTGAATTCTTGGAAGAATGGTCTATGGAAAATTTAGAAGAAATTGCACCAAGTGCAATAGCTGATGCAACAAAAATATTTGTAAATGGTTGTTGGGTTGGTATTCATAGAGATCCAGATCAGTTAATGGCTACTTTGCGTAAATTGAGAAGACAGATGGACATCATTGTATCTGAAGTGTCTATGATCAGAGATATTAGAGATCGTGAAATCAGGATATATACAGATGCAGGAAGAATTAGTAGGCCTTTATTAATTGTAGAAGGGCAAAACCTTTTGTTAAAGAAAAGACATATTGATATGTTGAAGGAACGAGATTACAATAATGATGGATGGCAAGAATTAGTTGGTAGTGGTGTTGTTGAGTATATTGATACTTTAGAAGAAGAAACTGTTATGATTGCTATGTCACCTGAGGATCTGAGACAGGAAAAAGAATATGCTTATTGTACAACATATACACATTGTGAAATTCATCCAGCAATGATTTTGGGAGTCTGTGCATCGATCATTCCATTCCCTGATCATAATCAGAGTCCAAGAAATACTTACCAAAGTGCTATGGGTAAACAAGCTATGGGAGTATACATTACAAATTTCCATGTTCGAATGGATACCTTGGCACATGTGCTATATTATCCTCATAAACCTTTAGTTACAACAAGATCCATGGAATACCTTAGATTTCGTGAATTACCGGCTGGAATTAATAGTATAGTTGCTATATTGTGTTACACCGGTTACAATCAAGAAGACAGTGTTATTTTGAATGCTAGTGCTGTTGAAAGAGGATTCTTCCGATCTGTATTTTACAGATCTTACAAAGATTCTGAATCTAAGCGAATCGGCGATCAAGAAGAACAATTTGAAAAACCTACACGACAGACGTGTCAAGGGATGCGTAACGCTATTTATGATAAATTGGATGATGATGGAATTATTGCTCCTGGAATTCGAGTATCTGGAGATGATGTAGTTATAGGTAAAACTATTACTCTGCCAGAAGCTGATGATGAGGTATGTAACATTATATTAAATAAATTTTGTTTATTATGTACACTAATATTTTACATATATTTATAGTTGGATAGTACAACAAAACGCTTTACAAAACGGGATGCTTCAACCTTCTTACGTAACAGTGAAACTGGTATAGTAGATCAAGTGATGTTGACTTTAAATAGTGAAGGATATAAATTCTGTAAAATACGAGTACGTAGCGTTCGTATACCACAAATTGGTGATAAGTTCGCTTCACGTCACGGACAAAAGGGTACTTGTGGAATTCAGTATAGACAAGAAGATATGCCATTTTCATGTGAAGGACTTACACCAGACATAATAATTAATCCTCACGCTATTCCATCACGTATGACCATTGGTCACTTGATTGAATGTATCCAGGGAAAAGTGTCAGCTAATAAAGGTAATAAAATGATTACTTAAAAAGCAGAAAGCAGATATGATACTACTGCAATATATTATTTGATAGGTGAAATTGGTGATGCTACGCCGTTTAATGATGCTGTAAATGTACAAAAAATTTCTACACTTTTGCAAGAATATGGATATCAACTAAGAGGAAATGAAGTTATGTACAATGGTCACACAGGCCGCAAGATAAACGCTCAAGTATTTTTAGGTCCAACTTATTATCAGCGTTTGAAGCACATGGTAGACGATAAAATTCACAGCAGAGCTCGAGGTCCGGTACAAATTTTAGTCAGACAACCTATGGAAGGTAGAGCAAGGTAAATCATACTATTTATTTTTTTCTTAATGGTAACTTCAAGTTACATATCTTTATACTAATATGTAATCTGCAGAGATGGTGGTTTGCGATTTGGTGAAATGGAACGTGATTGCCAGATTTCCCATGGAGCTGCACAATTTTTAAGAGAACGTTTATTTGAAGTCTCAGATCCGTATCGGATACACATATGTAATTTCTGTGGTTTAATTGCAATAGCAAATTTAAGAAATAATACATTTGAATGTAAGGGATGTAAAAACAAAACACAAATTTCTCAAGTTAGATTACCGTATGCAGCCAAGTTACTTTTCCAAGAACTTATGGCAATGAATATCGCACCTCGATTAATGGTAGCATAAACATTGATATATTTATTATCCTAGTATTACGTACTTTATATTTTAACATCGTAATCAAATAAACGGGTTTAATATAATAAACATTAAACTTTGTATCGACATAATTCATACGATTTGTATAATACGTTTTATTTAAAATTGTAAAAAGAAAAGTATATTACCCTATATATCGAACATATGGGCATGTAAAATAAGTCAGTTTAATTTACAAATAAATCTTATATTTTGGAAAACACATTTATTTGAAAATATTAAATACATACGTACATACTAAAACTTATACAATGTGATTGTAACTCATTAAAATTTTAAATTACATACGTGTATAGAATTCAGTTTAAAAATGTACTTTGGCTAACATAATTTATTAATTTTTTAATAAAATTCTTTCAGGAGTATTTAAATATTAAGTGAATAATATACAGAAATTACTTCGTTAATTTCAGTAATTACATATTATTTTTTGTTATATTGTTTTATATTTAAATAGGTTGTATAAGACATACATCTAAAATGCAAAACCTTGCCCTACATACTGGGCAAGTGCATTTAGAAGACAACCATGTTTCAGGTGCATTTTCATCCTGTCTTGATGCAAACCTGTAACAAATATTTTTGCTTAAAAAAAATATAATGCACTATTATGTACATCACTTTATTTATTTTTATAGAATATTAACCATTTTGCCATGCAATCTATGCACCACATTGGACGGCAGTAACACATCATGCAGTCTTCTGAATTCCCACTTCCTATGCCAGTGCTACATTGTTTTTGTAGCTTTACATTTGATGTAACTTGCATACAACCTATACATTGGCCTAATTCCTTGAAATATTTTATAAATAACTACTTAGCAAATACCATAAAATATTAAATTTATAGAAAAGTAGTACCTCAGCACATGCATAAAGTGGATTTTCTTGTACTTGGTCTTTAAAACTGTCAATAAACTTATCAAGTAATGTTTTATGAAATGTGATATTTTGTAATATAGTAATAGGACGTGAAACTTTATCTTGCAAATTTTTAAAATCCAATGCATTCAATCTTATGTCAAAAGACTGTGCTCCTGTTCTTGTAGACTTGACCTGTTTAAAATATTTTAATTAATATGGAGAGATAGTCAGGAAAAATAGACTTAGAAGATATGAAATATACCTCAATATTAATGAATTGAACTTCTCCTCTTGTTACAGGTGACATTTCATGAGTATCACTTTTGTTAACTATCAAAACTGCATCACTCTGATGTGCAACCAATACCTTATAAGGCATAATTTTAATTATCCAATTATCTGTTGCCACTATGGATGTTATACTGTTTGTAGTAATTATTATTTTATCTATTCTAAAACAAAATTACAGCTGTTTAGATTCTTTTTCAATGTAAGGTATATAAATATAATTTTAAATTTAATATATAACCTTCGGTATTCTATGTTGATATCAGAAGCTACTGTAGTCCATGCTACATTGTTATTATTATTACCATTAGAATAAACTGCAAGATTTTGTGCTATGGGATGTTTATTCCAATTATTCATTGACCATATTAGAATTTTATACAAGGTATATAGAGGCAGAAGTACAGTACAAATAATAAACATTAGCCATGTATGTTCTTGGCCAACATTTACATGACCAAACAGAATTAACCCAAGGGTATAACCTGAAGAAAAGAAAAAGTTATTTTAGTTTATGCATATCAATAACATCTAAGTAATAAGAAATATGAATATATTTACCAAAGGGAAGCATAGAATGTACAAACAATGTAACTACACTCCTTTTTATATGATATTGTATAAAAAATTCATTTTCACTACCTAACCAAGTTGAAAATATATCTTTTATGGTTAGACCAGCTGAAATAAATTCTGTTGGTGGATATATAATACATCCTGAGATTAAAATATAAAACAAGGTGTAAAAGAAAAACGCAGACATGTTTGAAAAAATATTGTTCCAACTATGTATTTTCACTTTTTTTACCTGACCATCTGAAAAAGTTTTACATAAACATTTGACATCTTATGTTTTATACTGTTAAACTATGTTGAACTGAGTAAAGTTCCACAGTCAACATAAGGTGGATTCGTGTCCACTATATTTTATTTTATACATAGATATCAAAAAACATATATTTTATCAATTCTTAAATGATTTTTTGGAATTTTTATTTTTATTGAATGATTAAAAGACAAAAATTACATATTGTTAAAATACAAATAAAGACAAGTAATAGTAATTGTTATTCAAGTAAAACGATGTTAAATGAATGCAAAATGCAATTTTATCAATAACAAACAATATTTATTACAATTTTCATATATACAGAACAATTTGGGTCAAAGACCCGGTTCAGCTGTTGAATTGTTAAGTTCTTTGTTTGATTAATGAAATAACAGATTATATATTTATGATGCATCCTTATGAACATGATCATCTTTTAAAATGATTTTAATCTTTATAACGTTACTTTACTATATAAAAACTACAGAAAGGTCTGCAATTTTATAGTCTATCTTCATTTTAGAAGTAATCTGTTAAGAAAAGGACTGAAACCCTATATAATATTAATGAAAATCAGCCTATCATTAATTCTATATTTTGGATACAAATATATAGTTGATAGTTTATGACAGTTCACAGAATCCGCAGTATTTGATCTGTTAATATTGTTATAGCCATATAATTATTTATGATGATACTAACAATTATTAAATAAAAATGACTTATGTGGTTTCACATTAAAACAATATGATAAGTACAATTATTTTCATGGCCTTAAATGTTGTAAGTATTCTTCAATTTACAGTTTTATCATTTATATACATATATGTAGGATTTGTTTATTGTTTAAAAATGTAATGTATTAATGTTATGGTTTTATTTGGAATGCTTATTTTATTTATATAATGTAATATACATATTTATATTTTAAGTCAATCCATCAAATATTTACAATGTTTTTTTATAAATTTATGTTTCTTAGGTAAGAGCCTATAGTTTTTAATCATGAGAGCTACTCTATTACTTTTAATTTTAATTCAAGCAAGAGGAAAATCAACTCAAACATGTCCAAAGTATTGTACATGTAAAGTTGGTGCACAAGCAGAATGGTTACGTGTTAAATGCAGCAATGATTTGCAGGATATTAAAGATATTAATATTGATAGTGTCAGTGTGGAATTGGTACAATTGTAAGATTATTATGTGGTCAATGTTTATTTCATAATGAAACAATATCCATTTTTGTATTAAAATATCTTTGTTATAGGGATTTAAGCAAAAACAACATTTATGCCATTGAAATTAATATATTTAAAAATTTGACAAATCTCAGACGTTTGAATTTATCACAAAATGACATAACATCAATTGGTGAAGGTTGTTTTAATGGTCTTGGAAATTTAGAAAGATTGTAAGAATATTAATATTATCAGTTTTTATGTCATTTATTAATGTTCACATATTAATGTTCTACATATATATTTAATTATAGGGATTTAAGTAAAAATCAGATTTCAAAAGTAGATGCTTACACATTTAGAAAATTGCCAAACTTGAAAAGACTGTAAGTTTATGATGTGTGTAAAATGCATTGTTACATATTCTTGTATGCTTGTTTTACTTTATATGTTGTTTGTTTGATTGTTAGTGATTTATCAGGAAACAACATAACTGCAGTGAGACCATCATTATTTCATGATTTGCTGATTTTAGAGCGCTTGTAAGTGAGTTTCTAATTTTAATTTTTAATTTATTTTATTGCATATGTTTTGCTGAGCAGCAATACTTTAATTAATTATACATGTAAAAAGATTTTGATTTAACAAAAATTTTATAGGAAATTGAATGATAATAAGTTAACAACTTTAAAGGAAGGTACTTTTTATGGTCTCAAGTCCTTAAAACAATTGTAAGTAAAATATATAATAGAATGTAAATATATAGGAAATTTTGATTATATAAATTTCAATTTATGTTCTAGAGATTTATCTAATAATCCATGGAGATGTGACTGTGAATTATACTGGCTTAGTAATTGGATCCATAATAGCTCCATTAAATTAAAGTAATGTATTAGCTCAATACAAAACTCAAATTTCTTCTTATCATTTATAAAATATTTTTCCAATGTTACAGTCCTGCTCCTAAATGTGTATCACCTACAAATGTTAAAGGCCAATTTATAAAGAAATTAAGATATTCAGAAAGTTTCCAGTGCCAATGGTTATCTCCTACAATTGAACTTCGACCGGTTCACAATCAAGTAGTATTTGTAGGAGATTCTATAACTTTAAAATGTAGAGCGCCTAGTATTACAGAAGATAAAAATGCAAAATTGAGTTGGTTATGGTATCCTAATACTACTACTGAAATTATGGATTTAAACGAATTTACAGATCCACAGAAAAGTTTATCCAATATTAAAGTTGATAATAGATATCTTACAGACAGTGGTATAGTGGACAGGTACAGCAATGTTCAATTTAACTTATGATTTTTACACGCTTATATATAGTAATATGTTTTTTTTCTTCTGATAGTTCACTTAGTATTGTCCCAGTTAAAGAAGAACACAATGGACAGTGGAATTGTTTCTTAGTTTCTGTAAATGGTAATAGATCAAAAGCGATCAGTATAATTGTTATTTCTGATAAAACCCGTTATTGCCCTTTAGCAGGTAAATTGCATTATACATTTAACATTGCAATATAATTACGTAACAAATTATATAATTATGTTACAGTGACTAAAAATAATAAAGGTGTTTATACATGGCCAAGAACTGTAGTAGGATGGAAAGCAGAATTACCATGCGAGGGCAACCATTTAAGTCTAATGCAAATACCTTTAAAAGCTTCCTATCAATGTAATATTACAGGATATTGGGAAGATTTGAACACAGACTTGTGTCCTTACATATCACACACAACAAAAAGTTTAGAACAGTTTTCTAAAGTTAATCTATCACTTACGAAAGTTAGTTTAATAGAAACGGCAAAGAAATTCAAAAATTATACAGAAAATGCTGTACAAATAACCGATCCTGTTGAAATCAATTTTATAACGCAAACTATAGAAAATTATTTAAATTTTATAACTGAAGAAAAAGAGCTTGGTGCCATATTAATTGATGTTATTGATACAGTAATTAATGTACCAAAAAGTATCTTAAGCAGAGCTGAAATTTCTTTTAAATCTTGTACCAGACTAATTAAAAGTGTAGAAAAAGTTGTAGAATTTAGTCCGTCTATACAATTTTATAAAAAAGACATAGCTTTAGAAGAATTCAGAGTTAAACGTGGTAGTTTTACAGGGCTAATATGCACATGGTATTCCAATAATGATCCAGAAATAAAATTTTTACAATGTACTACAAATAATAGAACATCTCCTATTGATATAAAAGATAGAACAATTGAAGCCTCAATACATTTGCCTGCATCCTTATTACAACATTCACAAGAAGCTGTCATTCATCAGTTAATGATTTCTATGTACAGTAATAATAGATTATTTCCTAACACAATTAACAATAATAATATGGATATTACATCATGTATTATTGGAAGTAAATTATGTATGTAACAATAAATAATATAAGGAATGCACGTTAATAATGAAAAGAAATAATATACAATTTAAAATTTAATTTCAGTTGGAATCTCAGTACAAAATTTAACTGAACCAGTATACATCATGTTAAGGCTTCCTTTGTATTATTATACTGGGAAAAAACTGCTACCAGTCGTTTGGGACGAAACGTTAAATGAATCTGGTGGTTGGACAAGTGAGGGTTGTTATTTAAGAAATATATTAAACAATTTAATAATATTTCATTGTAATAGATTGGGATATTATGGACTTTTACAAGATACATCTTCACTTGATCCAAATGGTAACAGGTATGTATTTAATAAATTTTATATACGTGGATTTCTATTTTTTTAATATCTTTGTATTTTTAGCCTAACCGGAGCAAAGTTTAAATATTCAAATCCTGCAATATATATTGGAAGTATTGCAGCAATAATATGCCTAATAATTATTTCTATTACATATATTATCTGTTATACATCAATCAATATGCCTAAGAAAGCAAAACATTGTGTCATTAATACTTGGTTTGCCATGGCCTTGTTATCATTTTTTTATAGCATTGGTATTTATCAAACCGAAAATATAAAAATTTGTCAAGGTGTTGGTCTTACTCTTCATTACTTGTCTCTGTGTTCGTTGTTATGGATGGCAGTATTTGCAAGGTAATAATTTTTCATATTTTCTAAGCTCAACTTTAAATTTCATGAATTATGTAAAACAGTAATATTAAAAATTTGTTACGTTTGCAGCAATATGTACAAAAGGTTTTCTAAGCCAGATCTTGAAGATATTCCAGACAGTGAACTTCAAGATCAACCAATACCCAAACCATTACTAGGTCTTTATTTAGTTGGTTGGGGTATAGCTATGATTATTTGTGGTATATCCGGTGCAATAAATTTGCAAGAATATGCTGGATATTCATATTGCTTTCTCACATCTGGTCCTGCTCTGGTTGCTGTTTTTGTTCCAGCTGGCATTCTAATTATATATTTGATTGTTTTTCATTTACTTATTAAATGTGCAATTCAAAGTGTTGATACAAACGCCCAATTATCAGAGGGTACACAAGCTACAGAAAATATGGATTTAGAATTATTAGAATCAAATACAAATCCATCCACAGACAAGAATAGTGTTCACAGTGCACAAACAGTTTTGACTGATGTTGAAGATTCAGAACATTCTCAGATAACACAATTAAAAGGTCAGATTATTATGTTAATTTTATATTTGCTGTCATGGATTACTGCCGCTGCAGCTATCACGAGACCGTTAAATTCATATATTCCATTTGATGAAACTATATTTTCTGCTCTATACTCACTTTTCTCAAGTTCACTTGGCATTTTTGTATTTATCTTTTACGGAATTGCACGAAATGATGTTAGGTCGCAATGGTTGAAAATGCGTTGTTGGCTCCAGAAACGAAAACACCGATGTTGTAGAACAAGAAGCATTTCTGATGCAAACCCTGTAATTCCAACACATTCTTTAGTACAAAATTTTGTACCACCATTGTCTAATTCTCAAGCTACCCAAGTAACATCTGACTCAAATTCTGTTGGATCATCAAGATATACTAACAGATCACAAAATTGTAATGCATTTAAATTCGCAGATATTCAAGAAGGTGTACCTGTTGATAGAAAAATGACAAATATGAATTTAGTTGTATTACATCGGCAGCAATACAGATCTGATAATTCTGTCACAACATATATTGAACCAACTTGTGTAGAAATGTTTTACAACCCTCACCAAAGTGGAGTTGCTAGAAAATTTTTTCGAAAGCAACGTCGTCATACAAAAAATAATAATTTTGGTAATAGAAAGCAAGGCGATGGTGGTGCTTTGAGCGATGCTCGTAGTTGCATTTCTGTGCCACAAGCTATTACAAAATTAGAAAGTAATATAAATCAAACTATTTTAAGCACTAGTGCAAAAGTCAATAATACGAATATTCATGTTGAACTAAATCCAATAAATGATATTAAGAATGTTAACATTCTCTCAGATAGTGGTGGGAGCATGTCAGATGAAAAGAGTGTTACAATGAGATTTATTATTGGTCAAGAAGGTCTTCTTCAAAATGTAAGGAGGTATAATAATAACTGTAGATTACATGATCCTATAAGTGTTAACACAGTGTCGAACTCTCCAAGGAATAATTACAAAAAAATAGAAATAGTAAATACAATTTTACAAGATTCAGATATAGACATTAAAACTGATGAAGAAAAATATTTACAAAGTGTTTCACAGCAATGCAGTTTAGAATATAGTTCTGAAATAGAATCTATTACTCAGATGGCTAGTGAAAAGAGTGATCATAATTTGCCAGAAATTTGTGAGATTGTAGAAACTGTAGAAGAAGAAAATTTTGTAATAAAAAAGGATTGTCAAAGTGTAAATGAATTTCATAACATTGAAGAACAACAGTCTGACAGAAAATTAAAGTGGTTGACTCATTCAAATAGCATGTATTGCCTTCCAGTGGATACTGCCAAACGATTAAGAAATAATTATTGTAATTCAATGAATGATATCGCATCTTTTACCAGTTCAAAGAATTATGACTATTTGAAACTATCATTTACAGACTTGCAAAGTATTAAAAGCTTGAATTTGTATGATAGAAGTTGCCTATCACAAAGGTCACTTAACAAATCTGATACATGTTTTTCTAAGATAAACAGCAGAACTAATGATAATTCGAATAACTTAATACGAAGAAAAACATATATTAGCTCTTCAATGAATATTGACTGTGCCTCTAATATGTGCAGTAAACAAAAGACTGTTAATTCTATGACTGATATTACATTACTTATGCCTCACTCTTGCAGTATTGTAAAAAGTTTTGACTCTAACAAAGAAGTAGAAAATGTAAACAAAAATACAAACGTAGGCAGCATACAATATGAAGTCAGTAAAATATATTTAAGTAATCCAAATACTTATTCACAAGTAGTAAAAAAAGAAACGAGCGTTTAATCTAGTTTTACTTGCATGCAATACATAATGTATTTGTATATTAGTCAAGATTTCATTCGAAATATGCATAGAAATAATTTCTGATAATATTTGCACTTTTATTACATCTAGAAAACTAATCGTCTTCTTCTGCCTTATTATTGTTTTTACAAAAAATAGTTCCTATAAATAACAGAAATTACTCATTTTATAAAAGTATTGTATCTGTGCTAATCTTTTCTACTGTTTGATGAGTATCAAAAATTTTCAATACATTTTTATTTGTACAGAAATGTAAAATGATAATTAAACTGTTTACAAAATATGTATTTATTAAAAAAAAAAATGTACATAATTAATACAAACGAATTCTATATTTTTGAAGATGTCACATAAAATTCATTTTTTTTTGTTGTATTAATTGTGTATATTATGTCTATATAGGAAGATGTTCAAAATTTATGTAGTTATAATTTAAACAGTCGCTTTCATTAACAATTGCTTTATTCATAATTTTTCATTGTTCTTATCAGTTTTCTGTATAATAAATCTAATATCATTTTTTAGTAATAGTAATTTGTAATCACTGTCTATATAATGTACAAAATATGATATTATATTTTTTTTTAATAACACTTTTCATAATACTTTAATATTTCTTTTGGAACTGTGAAGTACATTTTTTCTAAGACTGAATATTTTATTAAATAAACCAAAATTATATTAAATTTATTATACAATTAATATTTACTTTATACATTTGAAACACTATTCAAAGATCATACATATATATATATATATATCTACACCACATATAGTTGTATTATACAAGAACATCACATTTTTATAAAATGTTTTGTTTATGTTTATAGGGTTTATGAATAATTTTTTTATAAAATGTGAGATCAATATTAGATGAAGTTTTATACATAGGATGACATACAGTTTATACATTTAATCCCTTTAATATGTTTGTATCCTGTATTTTAATACCTGATTTATTTTCTTTTTAAGTAAATGTAAAAAATAGAGAGGGCAAATAAATTCATCAATCCAATAAATTATAATCATTTTAATTCTCAAGGTTGATAAAATGATCATTTTAGTGGCTAATGAAGCATCACTTTTTATTAGTTCAACCAATCCTTGGGATTTTTTAATATTTCAAGAAGTTTTGCTTCCTTTGAATCAGGTTCTGGATCATGCATATATTGCCACTTTGCAGATAAAGGTAAAGACATTAATATACTTTCATATCGTGCACCAGGAGTATATAAACCAAACTTTGTACCACGATCGTATATTAAATTAAATTCAACATATCTTCCTCTACGTAATAATTGCCATTGTCTTTCAGCATAGCCATACCCATCATTTTTATGCCTTTCAACTAAGGGAATGTAAGAAGGAATGACAGCTTCTGCACAAGATTTTACAAATTGAAATGCTTCATCTTGACTTGGGGTATCAACATCATCAAAAAAGATACCACCTACTCCTCTACATTCTCCTCTGTGATTAATGAAAAAGTATTTATCACACCATTTTTTATATTTTGGGTAATAAGATGGATCATGTTTATCACATGCATCTTTTAAAGTACCATGAAAATGTTTTACATCATCTTCATTTAGATAATAAGGTGTGAGATCAGTGCCACCTCCAAACCACCACTGAATTGAACCATCTTCATTTTGTACTTCAAAGTAGCGGTAATTGAAATGTATGGTCGGAACCATAGGATTACGTGGATGAATAACTGCGCTAACCCCAGCTGCAAAGAATGGCACAGATTCTTGTTGCATTTTCTTTCCACGTGCTCTCATTTGTTGTACTGCAGCTGGTGACAATTCACCGGTAACAACAGATACATTGACACCAGCTTTTTCAAAAACAACTCCATCCTCTAAAACACAACTAATTCCTCCACCACCTTCTTTTCTAAACCATCTATCAACTCTAAAACGACAATTTGGATCTTCTAAAGCTTCTAAAGCTTTACAAAAATCTCCCTGAGTTTTCATTACTAATAATTCCATCTTTTTCCTCATATCATTTTTCTTCTTCAGTTCATTAATATCAGTAATTGGTTCTGCCATGAATTGCTTAATATTTAATTCATTTTGGGCTGCAAAAACTGTCATATTTGAAATGCTGTAAACTATGATACTAGTAAAAATACCAGTACCAAAGTTTTTTAAAGTTTTAATCCTATTTTGAGCTACATTATGCTTATGAAAAAAATATCGCATAGATGCACAGTTTTTTAATAATACTCGAACAGCCATGATTACCTGTAATTATTATTACAAAATTATTACATAATAACGTAATAGTAATAAATATATAAGTTCTAATATTTAATAAATTACCAACAATGCACGCCCGTTCTCAAGTTGAAAGTGATTGTGTGTTAATACAAAATAGATCGTTTTTTTGAATAATTATAGAATCAACCAATAAGAATTTCAATTTTCTGTGTATACAATACAAATTCCTCTTCTGTTATATTTGTTAGAAAAATAAAAATGTGTAAATAATTCGTGTTTTATATATGTATTTAACAATAATGTATAGAAGAGAATATTTGATAGGTTAATTAACTCTCAGTATGTAATAATATATATATTTATATAGTTTAATTTATTAATATTTTCTAAAATGTGGTTTACTAAGAACTGTAATCAGTTTCTTAAATATGAACGATTTTGTATGCGAATGTTGGTATGTTATTAGTTCATATAATTTAAACATGTAAACATATTTTATAATAATCCACTAATTAAATGTAAATAATTTTTATTGCAGATTAGAAAACGATCACAAGATGCCACAGATACAACACAAAGTATTCCAGAACCAGAATACAATATAAACTTTTTATGTAATCCATCAAATCGAGATACCATTTATAACAATATAATTGCAAGAAAGGGTGTTGGAGATATTGACAAAGTTCTTGAACTTTCCCAGAAACCAGAATTAAAAGATTCATTTTTACATGAATTAAGTAAAATACCAAATCAAACACATCCAACAGTTTTATCTTATGACAAAGAACCACATTTACTGAAAGAATGTGGACATAAACCAGAATTTGATTTTGAACCAAAAGAATTTTCAACGTTAACTAAAGATTTGAAATTACTTAAAAGTGAAACCTTAGGTCCTTTGATAGGACACAGAGGATATATACTTGTAGGAGATTTAGCAGATTTAGAAGAAGCATTAGTTCATTATACTGTAAAATATGTAATGAAGCTTGGTTTCAAACTTATATCGGTACCTGATATTATTCCTACTAGAATTATAGAAAGATGTGGATTAATAACAGATAATGGAAGAACTCTTACATACAGTTTAACTCCTTCTTATGATGATGATTATAGTTTATCTGGAACAGCAGAAATGTCATTAGCTTACAAAGTAATGAATACTACATTTAGTACAGATGATTTACCATTAAGAATGGCTGCTGTAAGCAGGTGTTTTAGAGCAGAAATATCTCATAAAGCAGAACAAAGAGGAATATATAGGTAATGTTTAATTCCATTTATTACTAGTATAATAATATATTGAAACTGTATCTAATATTCAGTTTGGTTTATACATGTTAAGGGTTCATCAGTTTACAAAAGTTGAAATGTTTGTATGTTCTGAACAAGAAAAATCTACAGAAGAATTTCAGAAACTTCAAGAAATTCAAGAAAATTTATTTACTTCTTTAAATTTACATTTTCAAGTAATTGATATGCCACCTCATGATTTGGGAGCTCCAGCCTACAGGTTTGTAGAATAATATACATATTCAATTAAAGTTGTATTACAAATTTTACATTTTTCAGAAAAGTTGATATGGAAGGCTGGATGCCTGGAAGAAAATTATATGGGGAATTATCTAGTTGTAGTAATTGTACAGATTATCAGTCGCGTCGTCTCAATATAAAATATAAAACAAAAAGCGGAGAATTGTTACATGTTCATACTTTAAATGCAACTGCTTGTGCGATACCTCGTACACTAATTGCACTTTGTGAAACACATCAAACAAAGCACCACCGCATTAAAGTCCCTGAAATTTTACTGCCTTATATGAAAGGAAAAGAGCTTATCAGAAAACAACTAATTCCAGATATGAGAAATTATAAGACTACGATATGAACTTAATAAACAAAAAGTCGTTGTGTAATCACAGTAAGTGTAATTATTGCTCATTTATAATTAATGTATGTATTCATTTTAATTGATTCAACTAAAATTATTTTAGTTTTGATTATTGTTTATTTCGAAATTTTATTTATATAATTAAAAGTTATATTATACATAATTATTAATATATTATAGGAAATTAGGATTTATAAAAACTTCAAATATTAAACACCACCTGACAATATATTTTCTAAAAACTAATACAATATTATCATACAAAGAATAGGGGTCTGAAAATTATACGTACACAGAGATAAAGATCTTTTCTTCAATAACTTGTTATTCTGTATATATTTTGTAGCGGTGTTATAAAAATGTAACACAAAATATTTCTTCTTAAAGTAATACAATTTAAAGACATTGCAAATTTACAATTTATCTCCCACGCTAATCGGATGTTAATGTAATGTTGTTTCTTGTTTATTAACAATTAAAAAATTTTATGTACTTGTCCTGATATATTGTTTCTCATAATAATACAAATTCATTTTTAAAAATTTCTATTTATCAGTACAATCCAATTTCAGTTCATATTTTGATCCATTTTAAAAATGATGGATAAAATCCAAACGTATTAATTTCATAATAATGATGCTTATATTATTCTGAAAAAGTAAAAAAAACTATAAAGTTAAAAACAAAGCAATGAAACATTATACAAACATACTTTTATGCTTTCAATCTTCGTCTTCTCCTGATTCAGATTCTTCTTCTGCATTCTGTAACCACTCAACAAATTTTTTCATTTGATCCAAAAACAGCATTTTTCCTTTCACAGAATGACCTTCCTTATACCATTTTAAAATCACTTCTTCGGATATTACATCCGCTAAAATAATAATATATTAATAATAACAGAATGAAAAATTATTACAAAATATATCGTACAATTCGATGTAACATACTTTTATAAAATAGTAGAACAATTTTTTGGAAGACTTTCATGAAATTCATATTTTCGTAACAAAATTCCTGGACCTTGAGAATAAGCGCGAGTTCAGATCTGGCAGTGGTTGTAAAAGCATCGAACAATGGAGTATATACTTTTAAGTGTTTCAGTGCTTGATCAGCTACTAGCTCTTCCTTCTTATTCCATTCAGCTTGACCCATTACAACAACCCAAATCTACAAATAATTTTGAATAATTATTCTTCTATTAATTCTAGTCTTATAAATATTGATAACACTCTAAATAATAATAAGGAAAATAAGAATATCAAAAATAAAATTACCAAACCAATAACTTCATGCTCAGGAATACTACTCCTTTGTGCCATTTCTTTGAGATCTAATATAATATCTTTCATAGGACGACTATCAACCAAATCGTCCAATAATAACTGCTGTAAATCTCGTTTTGCTTCTTGACTTGCTTGAGCTTTATGTAACTTCACAATGTCCGCGAGACCAACAGTCTCAAACACAGATCGAAAATATTCTTCTGTTCGTTTGTTCGGTGGTACAAATTCCATTAACCTGTATATTAATAAAACAATAAGAATGATACAAAAATTCCATATAAATTTAATAATTAGTATAGTAAAACGTGAAATGTTCTTCATACCTTCCTTCAATATTGCCTTTTTTCAAAGCAGTCATTAAACTAGATAAACCCTTCTCTTGTCTCCAAGTAACAAAGACTTCTAATAAAAAGTCTAATGCTAAGTTATCTTTGACAAGATGTTCATTGATTAAGACTGAAAGTACAGTAGGTGGAACAGAACCATTAGAAATCCATAGAGCTGTCATTCTAGCTAATTTTATTCTTTCCTTGGGAGAAAACCCCTTCATAAAAACCAATACTTTTTTCATTTCTTCTTCAAACATTTTTTCCAAATATTTATAGCGTCTCATAAGTTTGATAAAAACCTACAAATAAAACAATATTGATTGATTAGCAGTGTATAAAAATTCAACTATAATATTTCTAAATATATATAAAATGTATTACTTGTTCAAAATTTCGCATAGATTCCATATCTTCTGGTTGTTCAAAAACACAAGCAGTAGTTCTAACTGGTTTGTCACCATCTTGAGCAATAGAACCGCCTGGGATCAGAAGCCCTCCAGCTATTAAGATGTCAAACAGGTCCTCCCCATATCGGCGGTAATCTAATTTAGAGCCAGCTGCATCCAAGTACTTTGAAATTGCATCTAAGTCGTTACCAGCCTTTTCCAAACCAAGTAAAATGGCATCCCGAAATCCCATCGGATCATACTTTTCTTTTTCATCTAAAAAAAGTTATTGAATGAGTATTTAAAAAGTGCTCAGTATAAAATCTATATTTCTTGAAACATACCTCTCTTTCTGGTCTTTATACGTTGACCTGATAATATTGGTTTTTCTATTTTTTGACTCATACAATACCCTTCTGTAATTAAAAAATTTTCAAGTAGTATTATATTCAAGAATACTGATATTTGAAATATAAGAATCAATTTGCAATATGTATTTTTATAATTTATACAATATTTCTTTTATAGGTATAATTATCTGTTATATGTTAATCAATTTAATTTTTTATTTTTAGAAACTGCTTTTAATGTAAAATATCAATTAAAAGAAGGAAAAGTGAAAAATCAAACAAAAGTACACGACCATAATGACCATAATGTGCTTGGCATTTGACTCCAAATCTGTTGGCACTTCTTTGACAAATGGCGACTTTCGTTAGACATATTATGTTACACGAAAATTTGTAATCATAAATTACTTTGTAACGAAGATTATTATTTGAAGTATATATAAAAGATGTGTATTTTATGTACTATATTATTTCTAAGGTTAAGGTCACGCAATGAGACCACGATGGCTGAAATCTATAAAAAAGTTGAATTGCTTGCAATGATCAGGTTAACCCGGAAGCACAGAAGCATTAGCCAAAAAATTGCGATTTTTATTTATTAACTTACTTAAATGCACGTACAACTGTAGAACTACCCCTTTTCAGGCGTATAAGGGCAATACGAAATATCTCAAAGAGGATTTTGAGTACTTGAGGTCAGCGAATCTGAAGAGAATCAACCTGAGGAGAAGCCACAATTGACAGGGAATAGATAGGATACTCGAATTTGCATTTCGTAACGCGTTTTTAACGCCATCTAAATAGCAAAAGCCAGTGATTATAGATCCAACAAGACTGGGCATGCCTTTGTTACCGAGGGGTCATGATTTCTTGGGAGCTCAGGCACCCCCAGGTCAAGTTAGGTTTATATGTACAGAGCACAACCGGTTGACAGTCGCACATCTCGCAGGGGCATGCATGGACATCAGAAGGACCAATTTTGATTCCTTTTGATTCTATTTTTTAGAAATCAGTTAAAATCAGTGATAATTATTTAACGAACTTATACTCACTTCATGTGTCTTGGTAATTCCTTAAAACCTTACAAATCGAAGAATAAACTGTAACAGTTGCAAATATTATTACTGCATTTATAACATTCAATAACTGTTTGATCTTTAATAAATTATTATAAAAATAATATACATAACAATCAAACTTATATTATAACAGAATAATTTCTTTTCAACATCGTGTAAAAGAAAAATAATTAATAAAAGTTTGCTGGATATTCACTCGTAAAACTTATAAAAATAACAAATTTCAATTAAGAAATAACAATTTAATTAATAAATTACCGTAAAATTAAAAATTATACAAAAATAAATTGTAATAATAATAATTTAACAAAATTATACAAGGTATCTACACATAAAGGTAATAAAAATAATATATTTCAATAATTATAATAATAATTCAGTTAATAAACAATTGTAAAATAAAAAACGTAATAAAATAAATTTTAGTAAAATAGTTAAACAAAATTTTGCAATATATCCACGCGAAAATGTAAAAAGATAGAAAGTTTTAATAGATATAATAATAATTTAGTTAATAAACAATTGTAAAATGAAAAATTATAATTAAATAAATTTTAATAGAATAATGTATAATTCGAGTAGCAGCAACTGGCCGCAGCGGTGATCAAGCGGAACGTCACGCTTGATCGCGCACCGCTATTGTCTCGCGCCAACCGTTCGACCTCGAGCGAGGTCGAATCTAGTCAGTCTTATCGCGGCCGCCGAAGAGTGCGGATCTACCTGTCAAACGTAGACAGGTACGCGTACACGTGTGAATCATTGGAGCGTATATTCAGCTATGGATTACCTACAGTGATAGTGCAGGTGCTTAGTGTTTTTTACCATGTGTTTGTGCATACCTACTGGGATTGTTTAACACGTTTTATGGTGTGGTTCCCCATGTACCTGCATGTGTATTACTGTGTTCCCTTATGTGATTGGGTATACATATACGGATATATTAGTGGGTTTTATGGTGTGATTATTTACGTGTTTCGACATAATTTTGCAAATATTCTATGGAGTTTTATGGTGTTGGTCCCTATGTGTTTTGACCTGTATTTATGGATTTATTAATGTTTTATGGTGTGGTTATTCTCGTGTTATTTTACATGATTATTTTTTAATTTGCTCTTTTATTAAAATATTTATAAAATTATAAATGATTGTTTATTGCATGTTTGCATGAATGAATTTGAATATGTTAACTGTAATATATCAAAACAAGCTACGAATTGAGTTCCTTAATCGTTTGTTATATTTTTGCTTTCAGAAGAGTGTTTTGACCACTGAGGGTACCATCTTCTTTGACTGAGGGTACCATCTTCAATCGTGGGTCAATCAAACTCTGAGGGACGTTACGAGTGCAGGGATGCAAGTCAACGATCGGTGAGTCGCATGCTTTAAAATTCCTCCGGCTCCCATCATGTCGTAGGACGAATGGTCCGAAGCGACACGGGAATTGGTTGTAATTTTTATTTTTTGAGCGAGCATAGTGACGCACAAATATCATTATATAATATATACAATGAGATTTGTGCAAAAATGTTTCTATATTTTATGTCTTAGTTCAGGATAGGGTTTTCTTATACATATTTACATATATAGATTTCGAGTTTAAAAATGTAGAGAAGTCGGATGACCCTCCGACTTCACAATACACTTTCTTTTTTATATGTACAAGAATTTATTTCGCGATGAGCGGATTTCAATATCAAAGTAATAAGCATGAATACTATTAATCATTATAACTACTTGCTTTGATAACGAAATCGCTCTTGAAATTGAAACGTTTTTCCGATTTTACTCGTGAAATTGGCATCAGTTTAGTATATGGGCTGGCCCTCAGGGGGGTTGGTATTTGCTCTTCAAGCATTGTATAAAGTTCCCCTTTCGTACTTGAAATTCATTCTGTCACGTTCACGGTTCTCGACCCTAAACACTCATCATTCGCACTTCAGCCTCACGAACTCTATCACATAACCATTTATTCACCCGCATACCCTTGTGTAGTGAAATATTACCCCGTTAGGATTTTCAAGTTAAAGTAGTGTTGCGAAAAATTTTGAACGCGAGAGTAAATATTATCCCGTTCGGATTTTCAAGTTTAAGTAGTGTTGCGAAAAATTTTGAACGCGAGAGTAAATATTACCCCGTTAGAATTTTCAAGTATAAATAGTGTTGCGAAAAATTTCCGGCGCGAGAGTAAATATGACTATACGCTGACTAGTATTCGGTGGGAATCCTTTTGGTTTTTATTTGATAAAATTAGTTACAAGGATTCCGCGGCATAAGACCGTGAACACCACCTCATGGGAGATAAAACCATGCATTACTAGGCCTTTGCAGGCACAGCCATAGAGTACGGAACATTTAAGTATGTTGCATCCCATACGCTAAGCTGTTTTAAAGTCCTTTTGCCTATACTATGGGCGTCCACCACTCGGACACGTTGGATGCAATGTGTTCGATGGGTGGGTAGCGCTCTTAGCGAAGGGGTGCATCCTTTCCTAGGCGGGGTGGGTGGTATGTAGCGTCGGGCGTAAGTCCAGGGGGCTCGAAAACCTCCGTTGCCAGCCGATATTAGAAGTGCACCATTTTTGCGTTATAGTTGCTCTATTTTGCTTTTCTGTATTTGCTCTTCAAGCTTTATATTTGCAAAGTCGAGTCACTTTTATTAAAAATAAAACCCCTTGGAGGGGCCAGCCCATATACTAAATAGGAGCCGTGAAATTTCGCCGATATTCTTACTTTTAATAAAGTGAGAATATCATCTTTAGTTTTTGCTAATCATACGTTTTAGCTTAGGCATTTCAGCACACATGAAGAAAACTGGTAGGTGAAAATACCTTTGGCCTTGTTCATTTTTATGCCCAAAGCTCATTCGGGTACTTAGATGTACTCGCGTGGGTGGAGGGCGGTGTACAAGGTTTAGTTTTAAGTGTAATACATTTTGGCGACTGACAAAAGTAGTGAACCAGTAATGAACCACGATAGAAGTTCCACATGTGTGTGTGTGGTTAGGATGTGGGATTTGTATCGTTTATTAACAATCTTAACTTACTATGACATTACAAAATACTTAACAAGAATAAATTGAAAAATTTTTACATTAGATAATTCAATAGAATACGAAAATGAAATGTATTACTTTAGCATAATGTTCACTATTATTTGTCAGTCGATTTCAGCAAAAAGGTATGATTTTATTAGAGTGTGAAAGTTGAATTGAACTCGGGTGTCGGAGGCGTCCCGGGACGTTCTCCCTAGGTGTAGGCATTTTTGCACCCGGGTGGTTGTATGAGAACCGTGGAGTGAATTTTTGTGAGAATGATTTTTGCCCTTTTTTAAATATAGCGATAGGCAGGCAGGTAGTTTACTTCTGGTGTGATTGAGTTTAGTTTATAAGTAGGCAGGGCCAGAGCAAGCTTTCATGTTTCTCTTCGTATTCTCCTCTAATACGTGAGAAGCTTGTATCTGGGGTGGGGAAACCAAAAATCAAGAGAAAAGATGAAAATGCAATTTAATTAATTTATCAATTAATTAATTTAGCATTCTCTCTTGATTTTTTCAAGGCCAAGCCTTATTAGTTTGTAAGTCGTAGTCGTGGTACTAGACCCGATTACAAAAATGAAGTATTAAAGTGAAAGTGCAGTGAAGTGAAGTGAAGTGAAATTAAAAAGTGTTGTGTGCTTGGACATTTGCAAAAATTGTGCAGGTATGCGAGTAGCGATTCAAGGGATCGTTGCTCGTTTACGTGTTACGTTTTTACAAATGTCTGAGTAAACGTAAAATTTTCGCGAGTGATTTTTGTGAGGCTATTGCCGAAGAAAGAAGAGGCTACATGCCGAAGAGCCCCGGCAAAATTTGCCCAGAAGAGGGGAACTACTAATGGCTCTCCATCTTCGGATGGACAGTCATTCTGTCACTATGCTCGCTAATTTGTTTTTTCATTTTTTAGTTTTTTTTTGTATGATCCTTTTGGACATATCGTCGAGAACATAATAAATTCGAAATTTTACGAGTTGAACAGCCAGCTCGTTGAATGGTTAACTCGCGTTTTTATTTCCCCTATTTCCTTTTTCTTTATTACTTTATTGAAATAAATTATTCTTTTCTTATTGATTTTGCACATAAATTATATCTTGTATTTTCATTTTACATCTGCTTAAATTCTCATTTTATTGTATATTTCTGAGATTGTTATGTATTCTGTTCTCGGCTTTTACTATTTCAATTGTAATCGAAATTATAATTTTAATTATATTTTCTGTTTCAGCATTTCATTATTGAAATTTTTATTTAAATTCTAATCCCAATAATTATGTTTTCTATTACAGCATTTTATTGTTAAATTATTATTATTTTCTCAATTATTTCTGATATTAGGATGTTAATTTTATTTTCTATTTCACGATTGTATTGCTTAAATTTTTATTTTATGTTGTCTGTTTTGAATGGTTTCACGTTATTGTATGTCTAATCCTAATAATTATGTTTTCCGTTACAGCATTTTATTGTTAAATTATTATTATTTTCTCAATTGTTTCTGATATTAGGATGTTAATTTTATTTTCTATTTCAAGATTGTATTGTTTAAATTTTAATTTTATGTTGGATGTTTTGAATGGTTTCACGTTCTTATGATTTTAGGGTGGGTCACTAACGTAGCCACCTCCACGGGGTGTGACCTGGTAATTGATATCGTTTTCTAAAGATAACTTTTAGAAAGCGATATCAAGCTAAGAGCTACAATAAAAAGATTTATATATTTTTTAATTGGGAAACAATAGTTTAAATTCAGAAAAGTATTTTCGGGATTGCAATATTACCATATAGAACGTATAACTATAGTAATTTTATAGTTCCTGAAAAAGGAACTTGTATGATTTTTGACTAATTACAAATGACTAATTACCTCCTTCTTTTCGAAGTCGGTTAAAAATAAAATAAAAGGAAAATCACAAAATATGGAATTTAGAAAGAACGAAGTTGTTTGATACGCAATGGTAGAAAGAAATCAACCCTGGCGAAGATATTTCAAGCAGAGACGTTGCACATACATTGGAAAGGTCATGACTTTATCCATGACTCTGGTCAGACGCCAGATCTCGCTCTTGTCCATAGAACACATAATTTCTGCTTTTCATTTGATAGAAATTCGCTACGTTGACTAACAAATATTTTTCTTATAACAATTTTCGAGAGAAATTCATTATTGAATGAAAGTAAAAATTTGCATAAATGGAGGGTGGATGGGATGATGTAGGGCGGGTCTCCAAACCACAGCAACCTCCTCGTGGTGAGAACTGGGCAATCGTTATTATTTGATGACTAATTAACAACTGTATCATTATTTCTATGGTACATTTATTAATTATACAGCAAATAATACGAGCGAATTGGCTGCGAAATTTATGCTTTCTTTTCTATTTAATCTCTGTTATATATTTTTCAGGAACTATGCCTTTCAGATTCTGAAGTGTATCACATTGCAACTACAATTTTACGGAACGAAAATTAATAATAATGAATGCATGGTCAGTATTGTTTAATTATGTACTTATACATATAGCTATCGTAGCATACACGTGTCATTTAGGTGTTTGCGAAATGTGACGTAGTATAGCATGCCGTTAATTGATAGGGTTGATAGCATGCGATAATTGAGGTGGCGCTTAAATCAGTTTCTGTTCGGCCTAATTTTCGATGAAACGTTGACTGTTTTACCGATGCGGAATTCGAAGTTTGGCCTCGACGCTCGCATCACCTGAAGTATCAATGGTGAAAAATAATCATGTAATGTGTGAAAACAATAAGCCTAAACTTTATTATTTTTTAAACATATTTTATTTTTTAAACTAATTGCACTTGATACACTATGATAAATAATATTATTATAAGAATAAGTTTTGCTAACACTAGACAAATTCACTCGGAAAAGAAGAAGTACTTTAATTATTTAAAATAAATGTACATACAAATTTATACAATTTCAAATAATAAATAAAAATTCAAATGCATGATTTAAACATTATACTATTCATTAAGAAGGCATTTATAAATACTGATACATTTCTCAAAAAATATACTCTTTCACAGTTTCAATGTTAATGAAATACATACCCAGAAATACATATAAATCTTAGTTTGTTAATTCTTTTTAATGTTTTACAATATTGTGAAATTATGCAACTATTGTTATTTGCTTATTTATTTAGTAATATTTATAAGATAAGCAGGTTTGCATTTAATTAGAAACGTTACAACTATTTATTTACTTGTTATTTACTACAATTTGTAGGTGCATAATTAAAAATAATGTATTCACAATTTGTATTAAGCATTTTATAATTTTGACGAATGAGCTCCTTTTCTTGGTATATCACTAAATGGTTTTAGTAATGGATACAGAGATTGACTAATTTTGAATGATATAATATCATCAATCTTTTTATACGCAGCAGTATCTTTTCCATTTGATGCCGTAACATTTTCGTTAGACTCCACTGTATTTTCTTCTGTCGAATCTGAGTCTTTTACTGTCGAAATTACGTGTACCGATACTTTATGTTGAATATCGTTTCGAAGTAGTTCCTATAAATAAAATAAAATAAATGTATTATAGTCAATATTAATTAGTTATTTAAATAACCAAATTGTTAGATACGTACTTCGTAAAACTTCATTATCTGTTCCTGTGTTATAGTTCTTAAATATGCAACTTCTATATTTGCTCGATCAAAATTATATTGCTGCACTGAAATTTCACTCCAGAAAATTGCAGATAAAGTAGTCATCTTTTTAGGTTTCTCAAGACGTCGTACTGCCAATGATTCTTTATGTCTATTAAATTCTTCTTCTGTTAAAGATGATATGTATTCCTGGAATAAATTAATTTTATATGAAAATTATGAAAATATGTTAAATAATATTTAAAGTTATATTTACTAACCAACATGGAATTCAAAAATGCATTAATTTTCTGTTCAACATAGTTAGGATCTCTCTCACTTTGAACTATAATTCTTAAACCTTGTGCACCATTTGTTCTTCGAACTCCGCTAAATACAATATATCCTAATTGTTCTTTAGTTCTTAATACAGTAAAACATGGTTCTGATATAAGTTGTGCTAACAGTTCTAGTAACATATTTAATTCTGTTGATTGCAAACCAGTTTGATAATAAACTTGTGTACATGAACTTTTATGAAACTTATTCTTCACTTCAAACAAAAAGTGATGACCTAAAAATACATGTATTGAAAATAATCATTTTGATACAAAGAAAGTTAAAAGTTATATACACTTACCATCTTCTAATTTGATTTCACGTTGTAAAATCAACTGTCTAGGTAAAAGAGGAATCATATGAGGAAGCGAGCCTTTTAATTTTGATTCTATTAACCCGACAGTTTCAATAGCTTCCGACATTGTCATATTACCGTGTATTAAACATTCTACATGAATTTTACTTAAAAATTGTGGAATAAATTGTTGAAGTCTTTCAGCTGTCAACTCTAAGTAAATGTTAGACGAAAAGAAAATTATAATAGTATCAAATATAGCAGTAATAAATTACATATAATAGTAAACAACTTTTATAGCTTCACTAAGATGTGATATTATAAAATAATTATTTCACAAACTTACGCGAAGTTGCATTTAGTAATTCATCCTTCATCCAAACTTGTTCAGACAATAATACAGCTAGATAATAAACAGCATGCTGGTATGGCTGTTCAGTCTCAAAATTTTTAAGACCTCTAATATACTGAAATGTATAAGAATTAAAATGAAAGTTAATACTATAATGAAAAAAATTTATCTAAAAAAATTAAGTAATTCATACATTTTCTTTCCAAATTTCAAATCTTTTTGGATCAACTTTAAAATTAATCATTTTGTCTATAATTTTCTCTAGTAGTACTCGTTGCTTATGATCGTAACCACCGATTCCTAACTGGAAAATATGAATTAAATTTTATTGTGTATTGTATAGTACATGTATAATTTTTCTGACAAACTTTTACTTACCGTAATTCCATATTTACTATTGACAAGTTCCCACTTGAGACCGGCTATATTAGCAGCATACGAGTATTCATTTAGTGCATCCCGGAACAATAGTACAAATATACAACAAAAATTATGGCTAAGAGGATCCATGTATGCCAGTGGACTGCAAAATATAAGTACATATAAATTATGTAAAAATAACGTTTCCCTTTAAATAGTGTAGAATTTAATCTTTACCTAACAAAATCCATGGATAAATTAGCTCTAGGTACAAGAAATTCGTCGTCTTGTTTAAACCATAATCTTATTAGTGGAGTATCTTCTATAATTACTGGAAATTTGGTTATCTATACGAAGTAAAATTATTTCTTTTTACACTTATATATAAATAATCATTTTATATAAAATATATGAATTTTACCCACGTTACTTTCTGCTAGTTTTATATCAAATTTTTCTGCTATAAACTCGTTTTTGGGTGGCAATTGTAAGTCTGAATTAAGACCAGCATTAATCCATTTTTCAATTATATCATCTGATATTTTTTCTCTTTTGAAGCTAGTACCATACCATTTTTCAGTTTCATCGGCTATGCCTTCATACAATTTTGCAATTGCATGAATTCTCACATTTTCTGGTTTTAAATATTCCATTACCCATTCAATTAAATCTGGTTTCCATAACGGGAAAAGGCTGTTTACTGTCAAAGCTTCTTCTATTGGATAATCTTGCAATATTTGTACTATGCTACTAACATAATCCGAAGGTGAAGACTTCTCTTTGAATTGAAAGTTCATGTTTGCAATGTCTCTATATTCCTTTAATAAATTATAAAGTAAAATTTCAAATTTTAGTTTTTATCAGCTGTAATTGCAACAATAACTTCATTAATAAATATGTGTAATTACATGATAAAACCATTCGGTTGGTCCTTGGGTTTTCAGCATGTTAATATATTGAAAAGTCAACAAAACAATGTCGTCAATATGTTGAAGACCCTCTTCTGTTAATTCAACATAAACAACAAAAAACTGGAAACCCCTAGCACTCAATCGTTTTCCGGATCCTAGAGAATTACACCATCCTTTTGCTTTTAAAGCAGACAATAGTGATCCTTCTCCTTCATGTCCTAACAATTGGGAAATATAATATGTAGGCTAGAAAAAGCAAAGAAGATATATTGTTATTATACACTAAACCATAATACAATAATACATATATAAAAAAATAAAGGTTATTACCGCTGATTTGTAGTGTTCTTGCAAGTCAGGTATAGGAAATGTAATATATAAATGTCTTGTATCTTTTATTGGAACAATATACCACTTGGTCTTAAAGTGTTTTTCATTGAAAGGATGCTCTGGCCATACAGGTACTTCAACTTCCTTGTTCTCTACTTGAGAAAATAACTCTACTACCATTTTTTCAAGTTCGTCTAAATCCTCTAAACGTATATACATATATATTATTATACAAAATTTGTTACATACATTTGTTAAAAAATTGTTGCTTCATTTACATACAACTCATTTCTTCAAAATTTAATTATAGTTAAGAAGATATTCTATTTACCTTTACCAAGTACACATAGTGCCATTATATTAGAAGAGTAAAACTTCTTGTAAAATTTAAATAAGCTTTCTCTAACATTTATTCCTTTTTGTTTTGGAATTATATCCAATGTTTCTTTATTTCCACTACCAAACTTTGAAAAAGGATGATTTGGATCAGCAGATGATTTTTCTACTTGATCAATACGCCATGTATCATTTGCTAAATTTTTTTCATGTTCCGAATGAATAGCATTTAGTTCTAATTCAGTTAAATCTTCTGTGAAAAGGGGTGCAATAAAAAATTGTGCAAAGCGATCTAGTGCACCTTCCAATTTTTCTGACTGTACATCAAAATAATAATTGGTATGATCCATATGAGTTACTGCATTGTATGAACCACCATGCTGTGCTAAATACTTATTGTATTCATTTTCTTCTGGATATTTCTCTGTCCCTAAGAATAACATATGTTCACAGAAATGTGCCAAACCTGGTAAATCATCTGGATCGCTTAAGTAACCTACAAAGATAACATCAAAATTTAGAGTATAAAAAATACTTGTTTATAATCATATCATAAGAGTAATTTTTTATTACCAATGTTCACATTCAATGATGCAGCACTTTTATCAGTTGTTGGATCACTAATGAGTAATACTTTCATTTTATTTGTGAGCAATAAACCTCTATATTCTCTTTTGTCATTTGAAGATTTAATTATTTCATTAAATCGCTTTTCAACATAATTATTTGGAGACATATTAGTTGTGGATATTTTTACATCAGATGATTTAAATCTGTAAAATAAATATATTAATGACCATAACTAAATTTTAATTTATTACATCATATTATTATACCAAATAAAGACATATTTATTATGATACAAATTAATGACAAGATATACTATTATATGAACCAATGCTTACTTGGCAGTAGTAATATCTGTGCGTAAAATTTTATCATTTTCAAGTAAAGATGCCATTATAAATTCTAATACAAGACTACACTTGAAGCTTTATCATAAAAGATGATACAGTAATGTAATTACATAAAAATCAGTTAAGTATATGTTTAATTATGTATCATTCTTTTATATCCTGTGAGGTATTAAGTTTTAAAGTCTTGTTTTATCTAAATTGATAAAAAAATGTTTCTTAGTTACAAAGTTATTGAATAAGTTTCAACTGTGTACAGTTTGTTGCTGATCAATGAAATTGTTAATTTTTACATAAATGTGAAATATGTAATGCCATTAAAAGTGTTATACGAAAACAATGTACATAATTCGCATAAAACAAGGGTAATGAAAAAGTAAATACTTCACATGGTTAATACTTTGTATCAAATGATAATATCAATGTTTTGAGACATGGTACATATTAATAATCAAAGCAATCAAGAAACCACATATAAACTATGAATTTAATGTGAATTAAAATTATCACTTCACTTGCTTCGACTGTTTCAGCTTTCGTTTACATCTATCGATCATGAACAAATTATACCATGTAATGTTTCATCGAGGAAGTATGCATACCTGTATATAACGAAAGATTGAATAACTGTATAATAATTTCGAGATTTGACAATACGTGATAAAAGCATTCTTATCAAATTTCTTCTTAAATTAAACAAATCAAAATGTATTTTATTCTATTATCATGTTTGTCATATCACACAATGTTTTGAAGTAAGTTACAATGATATATGCACTTGATTTTTATTCCTTATCGTTAGTGACATAATACAAATGTACAGTTATGTGGAATTATAGTAAATCTTTTACAATAAATATTAAAAGTTATTGTTTTGAACAAAAATTGTATCTAAATTATGTACGAAACAATTTCCTTCGCTTTAATTCATAATTTTGTAATTTAAGTATAAGTTTTATGGTAGAAATTGTATGATCTTAGTAAATAGGGTCAGTAAAATGAATTCAATGAAAAAGATATTTCAATTATAACAGAATTGTACAAACATTTTTTATACAATTGAAGAATCTAGTTTTTTTAAACTAGTGATCAAGTTGAGGAAGTTGAGTTGAAAAGCAAGAACTATGCGAATTATATGTATATAGATGTATACATATACAGCATCGAACACAGTAGACTTCTGTAGATAAAATGGCGTTACAGAGAAAGCAAAAGCTTTTAAAATCTTAATTTTAACGATATTAATATTAAAAGTGATTTAGAAAAAAGAATAACATAATTTTCACTGGTTAAATATTATAAAATTTAATATATAATTGAGAAATATGAATCGGGACCGCCTAAGGGGTGGGTGGGAACCCAGAGAAGGTGAAACCTTTGGGAAGGACCCGGAACTTGGGAACCCAGGGAATGGGAAATCTTTACGAAGCACCCGGGACATCGTCATATTCCTTAGGGAAACCTACATGCTCGATGCTATACAAGTGACAACGACCAACATTACCACTTACCGACACGCATATTTCTGCGCGATGCTCAAAAAGACCGCCAAACATATCCTCCATTTCTTTCGATCATTCATATCCTGTAAACGATTTTTTATTGTTTCTTCTTTTTTAAATATACGCAACTACAGATTTTGTTTAATGTTTTATTAATGTTAAATAACTAATACGTAATAGTTTTTTATTTTGCTTTAAAAAATTTATAATTTCAGAATTTATAAAACGAAGCTTTGTACAATAATTATTATTGGAAGCTCCTTGAGAATGAAATTACTTACAAATATTAGCTAATTATTCTTAGATACATGTAAATAATGTACTTTGCTCAAGAAAGTCCATTTCTACAGGGAAGTTAATCAGAAGAGGGTAGGGATTCGCCTATATTTTATAATTCATAGAAGACACGGAGGACAGTTGTGCGGCGATCAACTGGCGAGCTGGATGTATATTTTGCTTTCTTGAATTTTTAATTCTTTTCAGTAAAAACTATATATTAGATTTAATTATTGAAAAATCATCATCAAAACTTTTTACAAGACTTACAAATTCATGATTTTACATTTGAGTGGGCCTGATTTTTAAATAATTAAGAACTAATCGTTCCTCGAGATGGTATCGATCGTTTTATTGTTCTTGCACCTCAATACGCTCTACTTAACTTACTGTGATGCAAGCGATAGTGTCGCAAAACTTTGTAAGTATTAATATGACAAGGTAAAAGAAGTTATCCTTTTTTTTTTCAATTTTAATTATTATCCATTATTCAAACAAGACTCATTTCAATTTTTAATTTAAACTGCCCGCTTGCTATCTTATGTAATTAATACAGCACTAATACTTATTAAATTTTTAACACTTTTTTTCCCATTATTGACCAAAGTTTTTTTTGTTTCAGATACGAATTTGATGAACGAAGAAGATGTTACGGAAACGCAACACACGATTTGTAAAATCGCCACAGACGAATTAGTCGCGACTGCACGTGCCACTGTTACAAGAGTACTTACCGGAGCTTGTAACGCTAGTAAGAATTTTATCTAAGATTCTTTCTAACATTTTCTATCGTCTAATACTGTCTACAAACTTTCAGAAACAATCGACGATAAGTTGCAAGGTCTACAAAAGAGCTTTACCAAAGAATTAGAGGAGATCAAGGAGTTGCTCTACACTGTCTTAGAGAACAAGAAAGACTTACCCAGGCTGGCGAACGTGTACAATAATTATCAGGAACACGATGACTATAACGATGGTAAAAATGATATTCAGTCTCCAAGGCAGCTGGAGATTGATAGCTTCAATAATACCATCCAAGATGTTTCATCGACGAATGGTTCGTTTAAATCTTATATTTCTTTTATTACCCTTTCAACAAAGAAGAATCGTTAGAAAGCAACGATTTGGGTGAATGATTAAATCATTCGAGACACTTCCGGGGGGTTGTTACACAACGAGAACGTGTATCGCATAAGGATGTGACCGGCAGAATTACACTGGTAAGCAGAAAGGAACACAGCAATTTTAACGATGTTTTAACATGTTCCAGGCTCTACGAGCTTCTTCTTTTATTACTGGCAAATAAAGAGTTTCGACGAGAAGTTAGCAAGGTGGAAAACCGCTCGTTCCGAACGTAGTTCAACGTTTTACGTGGGTCAAAATGGATACGCAATGTACATCAAAGTCACACCAAGGTATTTTCCGGACGGTACAGTTTTCATAGGTGTTGGTCTAACTCGTGGCCGTCACGATTCCATCCTTAAATGGCCATTTCCCCATAAGATTCGTTTGGAGGTAAGAGGGTAACGTTAAATCCAGTCGAAAAAAAAAATGTTCTTCCTTTTTTTTTTAATAATCGAAATTAAAGAGTAGTTCTGTAGTAAGAAATCTGGCGATCTTCAGGTTTTAGATCATTCATTCGAACAACTGCGACAAGATCGACGCTCCCGGATCTGGGATCCGTCTATGCTTTGCTCGGAATATTTTTGGGGTCGTCCAAAATTAACTGGAGAATCGGATAATCCAGAATGTGTTGGATTAAGTATCTCTCGGCAAGTTCTTTTTTCCAAGCCACCGTTCAAGATCGATCAATCCTCGAGAAACACGAGATATCTTTGGAACGGTAGTATCACGATTAAACTAACAGTTTATCTTTAAATAATTACTTAATTTATGCACCAAGTTTTATCATATATATATACTAAAGAAAATTTCTTACATTAATTTTACAATCATTTGATGATATAATTCATTCGGTTAGCACAAATGACACGTTTTTTACTACTGTTCTATTATTAATCTTTATTTCAGTTCTGGTGAATGTACAAGAAACTTGATCAAATATATATTCAGCTATGTCTTCTGTCGTTTAAATAATTTAGGTACACGTAAGAGAGCGAGGAAAACAGAAGTGGAAATATTGTTATGACTAGACCACGAATATTTATGTATTTGTAACACATGAGATTGTGTAACATATATTAGATACTATAAAGTGGAATAAAATATTCAGAAGATATCAAATATGTAAAGTCTTCAGAATAAATTAATACTTTTCTCCAGCATCTTCTTAGCAGAAAAATATATTGTTAAAATGTATAATTGCATAAATATTCGCAGTCTGGCTATAACAAAGTGATTTTTCTTAAATTCAGTACGGCGCGACGAGATTCTCATCGTTGATGCATTTAAAGTTTAGGGAACAGATCATTCTAAAGAAGTTGATGGAACGTCGAATCTCTTATGAAGAGGCATTTTACCGGATAGATAAACCTGCGGGATTGCCAACATTCGATATTCGTTCGAATCACGATTGATCGTGTTTCGAATACTTTGAGAAGCTGCTCTCAAGAGTGCTTTGTAAACGGGCAGCGGAAGTCGAATGCTACCGCTTCCTTCCGAGTCCTGGAAGCTCGACGGATTTTCCTGGAAATTCCTCTTCTTTCCGCATCCTGTGGATAATCGAATATTTAATCAAACAGGATTTCACAATATATCGTGTTTTTTTGTTTTGTTTTCTTACCAGTGAAGGCATTGCAGAACGGTCTCTTCGATTTCAAAAACTCATCTGTAGCAAACGCATCCAAGAATTGTTGATCAACCTGGAAATTCGTCTCGAACGTGTTAATTCTTACGACATCAATCTATCGAGGTAATAATTTACCTTATTTTGTGGTATCTCGGAGTACACCGCGTTCATCAAACATGCAAGCACCAAAACACAGCAGACGTATTTAGTTACCTGTTAGCAAAAGAATTCCTATTATCTTCAGGTGTTCACGGCACGGTTTGTCATACTTGACGCTATTTCAGGCTTCCGGGTATTAGTTCTATCCCGAAGGCAGATTCTCCTAACATTTCAAAGATCCTTCGACCACTGATGAAGCTAACTGCATTGTCGTCGAAATGTTAGGAGTATCTTCCCTTAGAATAGCCCCAAGTTTCAAACAACATTCGTTCTTTAAATGAAACTGAAATTATCGTGGCAGGCACCCTTAATGAAAACGATATTTAAAACGAGTTCGCGATCATTACAGGACCGTACGTAATTTCTAATAAGCACAATGTTGATTATATAAGTACCGCACGTGAAGCTTTCAAACATGTTAACTGTTGTAATCTGCTTATGACTTTAATCAGGTTTGTACCGCGGTTAATTAATGTCCAACCGATACTATCGGTCAAACGTTCCTTCGAGCGATTCGTTCGTTCAACATGAAGATATACAATTTTTAAGTTCCTTCGTGATGTAATTCGATCCCATACAAAATAGAAATGAAAAGAAACTTTTGCAATTTAATTCTATTAGTTATTCTACAAAATTTGAGGGATCTTAATCGTATTTCTTCTTAGACGAGTACACCATATTAACGTTAATATTCAGGTTTTTCTTTTAACCCGCGTGGCAGGTAATTTTAAACACAATTATATTGTTAATAGAGAATATAAATTGAAAAACGACGCAGCCCTTTTAAGAAACTGTCAAGCACCGAGTAGTCGCGTCATACGGCAGGAAATTGATATCTAGGAAATCTATATAAGAGTTTCAATACACGAAGGAACCTTCTCAAAGCACGTACAAAGAATAATGAAAAAAGAAAAAGAAGTAGTTAGTGAATTATAATCGTTACACCGATTTAATGTATTAATGACCAAGTGTCATTATCCTTCGCCTTGTTTTTATCTAATGAATCATATATAAATTAAAAGTTAAGTAATTTAAAAATTGATAATTTAAAGTTAATTTCATTAATAATCTTCTGTTTTATATATATATAAAGAAACGTAAAACTATAGAGACATAGATTCATGGAATGTACAATAATCAAAGTGTTGAGATATAAAAATCATTAGCAAAAGATTGCAATGAATCCAATATTAAATATTACTAAAATACGCTAAATAACGTGAACAAATTTTTCAAGACGAATAAAAACATGATTAACAGATAAAATTACCTTCATGCCGAATCTTCAGGCTTACGATCAACTTCTGTGACTCGAGGGGAGGATCCCTTGATGAAATTTAAAAGAACACTTTTGTTAATTACTAAACTTTCTGTAGCTCGTCTAGGTCTTCTCAAAAAAGACTTGGAACTCGCGTAAGGAGTCAGGTTTACCGTGTGAGGGATGAAATCGCGCGTCCGCTCTTCAAATACCACCCCCTCTCTTCGTGGTTGTTCGAGGGCGTAAATACATGCGCCTAAAGAACGCATGACCGTTCGAAATGGTCCACGAAACGGTATGTTTAATGTTCTTTGTACAGAATCGTGGACAGTATCACGTATATTCTATGATTTGAATGCTGCAAGAAATGCAGAAATTATGCATCTACCGTTGTTCCATCTTCTTCATGTTCAGTTTATCAAATGTAATGATCCATGATGCGTTAAACGTTGGAGGACTCTTGAATGCATTTGTTGTTTAACCCTTTGATACTATCATATTTTGTTTTATATTTCTTCTTATACAAAAAAATACTTTTTTCTTATCGTTAGAGTATGTACAGATTTCTTATCGAGGAATCATGTATGAAGGTATATCAATTCTTCGAACAGCCATAAAAGGTTTTAATAGTTTCCTACATTTCCTCATACTGTTATCGTAGATGTATCCAATGACGGTGAATGGTATTCGGTAAATATTCAAATCCCGAAAATAAAAGGTTCAATTATCGAACGACGATCAAGTCGTGGGCAAAAAATAGCTTACGAAAGGTTGACCAATAACAGACTGTGTGTAAATCAAACGAAAGCAAGCGGAGCTAAGTACTTACAACGTTCGCACATCAGAACCCGCTGAGTTACTATAAGGTCGTTCAACCCTTAGTAAACACCCTTCGTCCATCCTCTTTCATTTAAATTTTCTAATTTTTTTTTCCAAGAAATTTTCCTGTAAAAAACCCCTGGTTGTACATATTAGAATGGTTTTGTATTATAATTTGATTTCATAAAACTATAAATTAAATATTTTTATTACAACCATCTAAGTATTTTTGAATAGCATTCTGAATATATAGTTGACTTTAAGTTAATCGACTTAATAGTGTAAATCATACAGTGTTCATGTCTTATGAATAAGGCATGTGTCCAGAACGATATAACTGTTGATATACGATTCTCTCTTCATACATAAAATGAATGAACATCGTCTTAGCAAGTGCTATATGTCTCTCGATAAAAATGTCTATAAAAGCAACGAATTTGCCTATGGAGTAGTAAATAAAGTTAAAATAAATCTAAGAAACATTGACATTAAAACTATTTAAAAATGAACTATAAAAATTGTTTACAGTATAAATAAACAAAATTTTCAAGCGCCCGGATAGCTCAGTCGGTAGAGCATCAGACTTTTAATCTGAGGGTCCAGGGTTCGAGTCCCTGTTCGGGCGTACTATTTTTTGTAATCACGCATTTAACGATTAAAACTTAACACTGTAACGCCTGTTTTATAAAAAATTGTCAAATAAATAAATAAGATAATAATAGAAAAGAATAAAATATAAGGAATATAAAATCCTCAGGTACTAATGAATTATAAAACACGAAAGAAAGTTCTGAACGATTTTATAAAAATTTTGATTTTAATGTTCATTGTTGTTTTACAATTCATATATCTTTATACAAATAATGTATAGTGTACATAATCATTTGAGCACTTTCTATAAGTCACTTAAAACAACAGATTCATTACGAAAACCAATAACTTGATACTGAGATAGGTGCATCAAGTATTTTGTTTTTTCATAAATTAAGATATAAATATCTAGAAACAAGTACAGAAAACGTTTCAGTCTGCGGAACGCAATCTCCTTTAAGATCCACTTGTAAAAAGGGATAGATACAAAATTTCATACATCTAAATATATATGAACACTCAATGAATAATGGATGAAAAATGAACATGAAAATAGCATTATTATCACTTTCAACATAAAATCCTAAGTAACTTAGGATTATTTTAATCCTCTGGTCCTGTTTGTATAAACTAGATTTGAGTCAATAATGTCTATATCATAAAACACATTCCTAACAATTTGGAACACTTTAGGATTGTTCTTTTACACTGCCATCAGGCATACCAAAGAACGCTTTGTTTGCCATTTTTATGAAAAGTCCAGTTTCAACAACTCCAGGCATCATTTTAATTTCTGTATTAATTGTATTCCAGTTATTCAGATCTTGTGGAAAATTCCAGTCAAGAATAAAATTACCATTATCTGTTACAACTGGACCCTGTAAAAAAATATATCATCTAATAGTTCATATAATACTGACCAATTTGTTTCACAAATTGAAAATACTTACAGCCTTAGCTAAAGCCATCCTAATTTTTACATCTCCCCCATAATTGTCTTCAACTCTTCTTTGGATGGCAACATATGCCATAGGAATTACTTCAATGGGAATGCCTTTCTTATATTGCTCTCCAAGTTTTTGAGAATTTTTTCTAGATACAATTAATATCTAGCAATGAAAATAAGTATCAGAAGTATAAAATCTTACAAATATAATACTTACGTATAATCAGCTATAATAACAAACTGATTAGCACAGGATGCCACAATTTTCTCTTGGAGCAAACATCCTCCTCCACCTTTGATAAGATTCATTTCTGAATCAACCTCATCTGCTCCATCAATAGCACAATCCAACTGTTAATGTTTAAGCATCAATGTAGAAATTAATTTTGTAAATACTACAAACAAAATAGTGTTCATTACTTTAGGATAAGTTTCTAAATCACCCAATGTAAGCTGATTGTTTAATATCAGCTGTCGTGCTTGGAATGAGGTTGGAATACAAACAATATTAAGATTTTCTTCTTTTATGCGTTCCACTGAAAAACATAATTATTTTATGTAATCATCTGTTGCATATTTAGAAAGTATCTACTCTTAAAGATTCAATTTTATTGTAGTAAAATGAAATTGCTGTAATTACATTCAGGAGACTTATGATCATATCTCCTGATGAGGTCAAAGATCATACTTTATGATTGCAAGATTCTTCCATGCAAAATGACCAAGTATAAGCAATGCCTAAGTATTTCGAAGTATTTAAATTGAAGTGCAAAATAAAGTATTGTTACCTAGCCTGTCGATAGCGTATATTATAGTAGATCCGCTACCAATTCCAATAACGCTATTATTCTGCAAATATTCATATGCAAAACTTAAATAATGGAAAGCGGTACGTTTATATAACCTGCGATTATTCTCTAAATTCATTTCAAAAGTACCTTGACATATTCATCGACTGCTCTGTAAGCCGCAATCTTTTTAGCACCTTCGAGAGGTCCCATTTTTAATAATTTTCTTGGAAGAGCACTAAAACCTTTTGTTAACGTGAAAAATTGTAAATATAAACCTCCGCGTATCATGCGTGCATACTATACATCTCACCAAGCTCCTAGTATTTTCAAAATCATTCTTCGGTTATATACAGTAGTTACAGCGCACGAATGATCGATCGATGATCCGGCGCATGACTGGCGCCATTATTCAAATATAAATCATTCCAATGCAAAGTATTTGAGAAGGTATTTAGAATAAACAAAACAGTTCGGTTTAATCGAATTTCCATTATATTTAGCATCAGAGGCGAATAACACAAAATACAACCAAACACAATTTACATTTCAATACGTATTATGTATAAGATTTCACTTTAATTCTCTATTATTACTTAAATAGTAATATTCGTCAACACTTTTCACTCCAACGTGTCACGCACAATATTTCTGTTTCTTCGTCGTCATTTCTCTCGCTCTCTCTCTCTCTCTCTCTTTATTCTCTTTCGTTCATCACGTTCGTACATTTTGTATCGTCGATTATTTTCTTTTCTTAAAAATCAAGTAAAAATCCGCGAACAACCATTCGCGCTATGCACGTACTCGAGCAGCATAGGAAAAAATTCACAGAGCAGCAGCAGCATTGTTCAGACGAAATAATCAAACATTTACTTTCCTCGACAAAGTGAAAAATTCCATTGTGTGTATCGATCTGTGCAAGGCCGAATTAAAGTAATCTCGTGAGTACACAATGATCGAAGTAGATATCAGCCTTGTACAATACGAATAAGGACATTTATTGCCATCTCGTCTTACGAAAGTTCACGCGTGAAACAATTGTTTCCATACGATCGCAACGAAGAACAAACATATTATTCCGAAGCTTACACAACATAAAATCAATGAACTCTCTGAATCGCAACTTCTTGTTTTGTTAGTTTCTTTCAGCTAAAGCAATAGATCACGTTCGGATGCAACGCTAGCGAATAAGTTTGTGATTTCCAGTGAATTTGCAATAATGTTAATTGCAATCTAAGTCAACGTTTGTGTTTAAAGACACATCTCCTGTATCTTTACTTCCGTTTCGATATTTATTCGATCCATAAAGTTCTCAAAGCGAACAATTATTATTTAACGGAGAAAGGAAAATGTATTCTTTAGTTTTCTCCTCGTACAAGCACACACATACACGCGTACATTTGCATACGTAAATTACTCTCTCTTTGCTTGCCCGACGAACTATAGAAAGGACTTTGTAAGGAGACCTCGTCTCGTCGACTTTCTTTTTTGATTCTACCCTCCTGTATCCCGTACTCCACCCCGTTAATCAAGTGAAAAGAATAATCATTAAAATTTGAAGGGACCATGGAAGCCGCTACAATTTTCTTTTTCATTTTTTAAACCCTCAATCTTTTTTTCTTTCTAGTGTTGATACGTACATATAGATGCGCTTTGCTAGCTCCTACAAATTTCTCTATCGTGCTCTCCTCCGTACACCACTCGCTTCCACCTTTGGCTAGGATTACAAGTTAAATACTCTGTCAAAGTTTCGTAAAAAATACCGATTGTTCTTCAGGGTATTGCGATATATGTATATATATATCGACGATCGATCGAGAGAAAGTAACACGCACAAATCGGTTTCCGATATCTTTGGATCAAGACGCGAGAGCCTTACAAAATACGACATGGATTTATTTTTTATATCGTAACGAGAACTAACGAGAGCCTTCGCGATTCACCTCCATGTGATTCTGATTTGTGCCTACTTGAAATTACTTAATGATATTAGATTTTGTTAACAATAATTATCGCGAAACTCGTTTAAGGAAGAAATTAAAGAAAAATGAAAAGTCTAACGTGAGGAAGGCAACGCTGCCACAGTTCTTAATCGTGCATATCCGTATATATACGTTTATATATATTATTATTATTATTATTATATATATATCACAGTACAAAAATACTGTGGAAAATATATAGTTGTAATAAATATTCTTAATAAAAAAGAAAAGAAAGTTTCCTTTCTCACGTTTACAATTTCTTTTTTTTAATTTTTTTTTTTTTTTACCATTTTTCCCTTCCATTTTTTTCATATCAGATAGCTTCTTAGCAATAAAGTACAATGATCCGAGGGTGACTTTAATTAATTCCCGCGTCATTAATAATAGAGAGTTATTAATGGCAACGACACATCCCCTTGGTTAAAATTATCATGTACGTATATATATGTATATATGTACAATCAGACTCCTCTCCCGTGTGATTGAGCCACTATCTACATATAAACCCTATTTTTTTATTATTATTATTATTATTATTATTATTATTAGCTGCTAACAATTGATTATAACGATAAGAAACGATATCATCGTAATAAGCGTGTAGTACGATAAATGATCAAGATCGAATTAAATTTCTGTGTGTTCGCAATCGTCAATTCTTTCTTCTTGATTTAGCTAATTAGTTTTTTTGTTTTACTTTTACAGGTGATTACAATTACCCAAATGATACACCTGCATGGAATTGTTATATGCGTACGTTTGCTCGTGTTCGTGTATATATATATATATATATAATTAATTTATATTTATACGGTAGGCAATTATACGTAAAATATATAGTTAAATACAAGGAAAATTTCATTGACGAATAAAAAAAAAGGGGGAAAAATGTCGTACGCGTTTCACGGTTTATTTTTCTTCATCCTTTTTTTTTCCTTTTTCGGGTAACGTTTTTTTTGTCTTAATTGCTTGAAAAAAAAATTCCCAGTTCGTTGTTAAACTTGTATTTTTATCTCTTTCTTTTCTTTTTTGTTAATTCGTCGGGCGTAAAAGTTTCCACCGAAGATTCCACGAAAATTCTTGTTTTCGATCCGTGTTTAAATCCGGACAAAGGACGTGATAAAAACAACCGTTTGAGACATCCAAGAATAGTTTTTTTTTCGCTTGTTACCTCGTTCACAAGAACAGTTTCTATCTTATTTTTTTTTTTTTGTCTTCCGAACATTTAATTTCCTTCCTGCAAAAAAAGGATATCCAGGAGGATCGTCGATTACCTTGTAGAAAGCGTACAAAGCTTGTTTTATCAAGAACCCTTTTAATTCTCTAGTACAATTTACATACCAGATTAACTAAACTTTCGGTTTATCTATGTCTATGGAATTTTGAAATAACCAAAACTACTTAAACGACACACGTACAGATGCGATTTGCAAAATAGAAAGAAGAAGAAAGATTAGGAGAAACATACGACGATACTCCGAGGCATCCTTTCGTTCTTATGAATAAATATATTGTAATATATGTTATATATTATATATAATGTAAAAAGCTTTTGTTAAGATTATGCTGAAATTTCAAAATGAAAGTGACAAAAACCAGAACAAAAAATTAAAATAAAAGTATAACAATATTAATATAGCATTCGACTATTCGAACAGGCGTTTACATTGTCCCTCGATACCTTTCGCAATTGTGTTTAGGTATACCCTTGTTACATCGTATAGTACGTAATAACGATTAAAATAATAAGAATAACATTAATCGTAGAGCATGTACAAAATCCAAGATCTTACAATTTCCGAAGTGACGTGGAAACAAGGGAAACGTAAGCTTGCAGTGTCGAGTATTAAGACAAAAAATTAAAGGAATAAAAGTACTTTTGCGATTTTATATATGAAGAAATTATTCAATACACTCTTTTAGTCTTTCTTTTTCTTTTTTTAAGTTAACCGTTAGACGTGCGTGGAGTCTTGCTTCGTTCTAAGATTGTACGCTTACGAATTTGTGTAAAAATTTGCAAAAATAACTAGCACATCAGTTTCATCGAGACATGCGCGTTGATTGCAGTAAATTTATTCAATTTAGACAAAGTATACAGCATTTTTTTTTGTTTTTTTTTATTTTTTTTATTGATGATACCACGTGCAAAAGACTTTTTCGACTTAAACGCGCGTTCCGCGAAAAGGCAGAATTTTGAATCCTTTTCGTTCATCGGGCAACTTCGCGTTAAGGCAATCGGTATGCTTCAATTTTTTCTTTATTTTCACATCGTTTATCTTCTATTTTATGCATTGCCTCTAATTCACACATCACAAAATAGGCTGTGTAACTAGCTGGAAATAGGTGCGAGCAACAATTATTTAGCCGAGAACTGAACGAAAGATCCAAGGAAACGGGAAAGCACAAAAAATGTCTCTTGTCCGTTTAACACCATTGTTGATGATATAATTAGCTGAATTTCAGTATTCCCCCTTGGACGTCAGAACAAGTTAGAGTTATAAGACAAAACAAAAAGAACAAAGAAATAAAGAAAGAAATTGAAAAATCACACGCTACATATTTTGTATAATTTTTTACAAGTTTTATATATGCATATATGTATATGTATTGTGTTTTTTTTTTACCTGGTTTTTATCCACATCTTGCAGATACACCCACAAAATCATGTAACATAAGATGAGAAGGTAATGCAAGGGAAATTAATTACAATACGAAATGTACACGAGAAATTGAAAAGAAAAAGAGAGAAAGATAGAAACAAGATTGAAGAAAAATCGAAAAATAATTATCACTCGTTTTTACGAGCAGTTTGAAAATTATACTTCTACTCTAAGTAGAATCATTGAACGAATTTCTAATGCATTTGCGTGCGTCATACGCACATAGTTGATGCATTGTTTGCTTTTATACTTGTTGAATAAAAGAAAAATATGAACATTTCTATATTGTAATTTTTCAAATCGATCGATTCGAAGAAAAGAAAAAAAGAAAGCAGATACACATTCTCGTTTTGTTTTCTCTCCATATAGCGCATGATTTCTAGCTTATCAATCAGTAACGGCTGTATTACCGTCAAATAAAACACGCATACAAATAATTATTTTATTTCGCATCGTAAAATGGAGTGATCAGATTAACGAGAATTAAAAGAAAAAAAAAAAAAAAGAAGAAGACATATGTGACATTAGTTCCAAAACATATGTAAATTCAAAACACCAACAAAAAAGAAAAGGATTTCTAAGGAATACTTTAAGAAGATACAGTTACATTTTAATAGAGAAAACGATTTAGATATTATTAATCGATGTGTTAAGACCTAGTCTAATCTCTCCATTTTCAAATCCCGATTTCTAAGAAACTGTCAAGGGATGGTCCGCCAATTTTATTTCGATGACCACTCAAACATCCTTTTGACATGATTTCATTAATTAGAATTGCTTTCTTGGTAGAATACTTTTTCTAGTCTTTCTCTCTAATAATGCATTGATACACGCGTAATTTCATATTTTTATAAAGTATGTAAGTTAAAAAGCGTTTGTCCACTGCTGTTTTAAAATACTCGTCCGACAATTAAGACTCCTTAAATAGAAACGGACCAACCCAAGCAGCGATTTATCTCCACGTGTAAAACATATTCGTATATTAAAGATACATGATACATTGATACAATTTAACCAGTTCAAATTGAACATAATAAACTGGTGCGTATGACGGGCACAGTGCGTTTGGTAAATTAATCAAGTTTCTATGTTCCCGACACTCAAACAAAACATTTCTGAGTATTATATTGATCAGATATCATAACTAGCCTATACAGCCACCAAATACGAAACACTAATATTATTATTTCTGTTACATTGTTTTCTTTCATTTGTTTTTTTCTTTTTTCTTTTTTTTTTTTTTTTTTTTTACCTGCCAGTCCCTATTCTCGATCAACTTATTGTAAACGGTTATAATAAATCGATATAGAACGTGGCAAGACTCACTGAGGAGCGTGTACGAGGAGCGTGTATGACTGCAAGAAGTGAGTTATTTACATTATTTGCATGTATCGGCGAATCAGCCCTTGCCCTTGTTCCATGTCACATTAAGACGAAAGATGGCGAGATTAGAATTTCGGAAAATGATAAGATAGGGAGGGTGAGGAGGAGGGCATTTGAATAATTATTAATATATAATATTATAATAATAACAATAATGATGAGGTGTTCTAAACAGTGCTAGGACTAGTGCTAGAGGGTCCTGTGAGGAATCAGGGTGGGTGAGTACGGGCTAAGGAGGGGTTAGTGTGGGGGCGGAGGTTCCGTAGATTGGTTTCTGCCATCTACAGCCCTAACCGGCTTCCTACGCGAAGGACCTGTTACGCCAACTGGACCGACCCCACCTCTAAGGTACGCTGGTGCTGGGGTTACTATCGGTTCTCTGATAGTTCTGCTAATTGGTGGCGGCAGTGATTGCTGCAATACCTGTATAACAGCGTTACAAGTACTAGATTATATTTATCATGCTTCTGTCTTCTCTTATATGGTTTCGAACTGTATAAAATAACAAGTATAATTTGTTTATACACACTTACCAATGGCTGTGGTAACACGCTATGCATCAGTGTTTGAACCATTGGTGTATTTTGTGATGCAAGGTTATTAGAATTTGGAGGCAATCCTTGACTTTGAAGACCGGTTCCCCCACTGCCAGCAGTAGACTGAACAGTATGCGATTGTTGCGTAGACGTTTGAGTTACGTGTTTACTCATTGTTTGATCCCTTTTTGCTTCTTGAGTTAAACTTAATTTTTTCATAGAAACTGTGGAAGTATTAGCATTTGGTGTTTCAGGACTGGTTGTGGCAGTAGTTGCACTTGATACTGGTGTTTGTACTACAGATTGTTGCTGTAGTAACTCCGGCAATGTTTGGGAAAGCGTTCCAAGAATAAGTTCGCGTGTAAAGAGGCTCCTATTTGCACTTTCACGTTCAATATTTTGCAACTGTGAGTCAGTGAGAGTACTGGTAATGCATCTATAAGTAAAGAGAAGTGTGACTATAGAACAAAATAATATATTAACAAAATCTATAAATAAATGTAAATTATTTTGTGTAAGCTTAACAAAGAAATGTATACGAATATTTTTACTCTTCTTCTTTTTATGAAGAGATCGTAAAATTAACTTTTGGCAACCCGCACACCGATCATGATGTGCAATTTTCCACGTTTCAGGCAAACAATAACGCTCATATATGTACATGTACGAACATATTTAACATTATTTTTTATATATCAATCATTTAATATTAATAAATAAGACGTACTTTGGCAAAAGAAACATGTAGCTCTGTGAATTGGTAGATGATACGCCGGACGGGTTCGCCACATTAGTTGTATTATTGTTACTACTCGTACTATTCGCTACGACACTGGTCATAGTAGTAGAATGACCACTTCCGCTAATAATTCCTCCACAGCTTGCAGAACCAAGTACCTGAGGCTGCCTCCTCGGTAACCGCTCCAATTGTTGCCTAGCAGCCTGCAAAGACATTTGTGCTAAGCTTTTTCTCTTTCAAAATATTTTATTATAAATTTTATATCCTAAACATAGTATGAAAAAATTGTTGTATATACGTACTCTAACTTGTTGTCGTTCCAACTGTAGCTGCATTTGTAGTTGTTGTAATTGTGAGGGTGCTGATGAACCTTGACCAGTTCCTCCACCACTTCTACGAACACTAGATAATTGAGAGAGTAACTCTGCAATTGGATCTATACTTTCTCGACTACTCGGACTCAATCCCCCGGACGAACTGAAATGCATATTGGACCTGCAGGTCCAATGATATGCCAATGAACATTATCTAAGGTGAGATGATGATGAACTGTAGCTGAAATTTACTTTATACTTTTTTTTTAGAAGTTATAAGAATAAAATATACTTTTCGTATTAGAGAACATTATGTAATATTTTGGCATGATATTTTGGCACTAACAGTAAGTAATACTTCGATTAATGGCAAATAATGGCTGGTAAGTTATAACGTTAAATATTATAATACGAGTAAAATAATGATATTAAACAAAAACAAATAGATTGCTCCAAAGTATTCATTAAATTATTCATCAAACGTTTATACAGTAATAACATTTACTATAATCATCGAAATTAGTAATATATGTATACCTGCGAGTTCGTGGTCCACCAACAGCTCTAGATGGATGCGTTATCCGTCTACTGTTATATCTATTAGGAGGTGGTTCATCTAGAAGAGAAATCAGGTCTCTTGGTCCGCTACGATGCTCTAAACTCAAATGACCCGCAAAATCATCAGTCACATTATTAGGATCTCCTCCTGGGATAGATGCACATACTGGACAAACCTATGACAAAATTTTAAATTTATAAATGTCTTGTAAAAAGAAAAAAAAAATTACAAATACTTTTATACATATTATATTTCGTTATACATACAACATCAAAAGTAATATCTGAGTGCTCTGCAGCAACATGTTCTTGTAATGTAGCCTCAGTGAAACCCATTCTTGTACAATAAGGACAAGTTAAGGATTGTGGCTGCTCTATACTTACTCCCTCTCCACCATAATATAATTCTGTTGAATAATAAATTTCAGGGTTAATATTTACATCTATATAATATCTGCATTAATTATAATGAACAGAATTCAATAATTAACATACCAAAGTCAGATCTAGTAAGTATACACTGCATAGGGTGATCAGTGTGGTGGCGTGTAGTACTAGCACCTCCTTCATAACAGCTGGCACACAAATCATAATCGTAGCACACTAGGCACTTGTATCTGCGACCCCGAAAATTCCCCTTTAAGCAGGAGTCACAACTTACCCCTAAAATATAGTTATGAGTTAATAAATATCAAAGAAATAAATATATTTACATATAATAGTATACACAGTATTTAATAAATTATATATTTTAAAAGAGGCCATGTGAATTGCATTTATTCTAAGCACTTTAAAAAGAAAAATATAGGTCTTTCTACTAAAGATATTTATATACCCCTATATATACAGATTCATGCAATAACCTTGAACTAAATCTATAAAAAGTAACTTACTTCACTTTACTTTTAAATCTTTATGCAACTACGTACTGTTCTGATAACAATTATTGCATGTTTCTATGAAATTAGATAATATGGTAAAAATGATTAAAACAAACAAGAATAAGAAATATATATATTATAATAATATATATACAATAAACATTTCTTTATCTCCTTCCATTAACATATAGTTTTAACTTTAATCTTTATTCTTTATACTAGGAACAATTATTTGTAAATTTTTAATTATTTGATGTATATTGATGTTTTATTTTTACTTATATTTTTATTGCTTATACTTTTTTTTGTGCAAATTTAAACATTATGCATAAAATATCTATATATGTAGCAATACTTAAAGACATACATGTGCATATGTAATATAGAAAGTATAATCATTACATTAAGATATTACAGTCATACAATAATATCATAAAGATTAATATATCTGTATCAACGTGTTTGAACTTCAATTTAATATTTAAGATTTTAATTATATAACATATGTATATTCAATGCAAATAAGCAAAGATACATATATTAATTTTATTTACATACTAAGCTGAAAATATTTTTAAGTTTATTAATTTTATGATAATATTTAAACTTAAGAAAACTAATATAATTTTATTGTTTGATCTTGACATAGTCCTATTACAATAAACAATGTATTATTTGAAAAGTACAAATTAAATACATAAAGTAGTTTACTAAAGGGACTAATTGAAAGTTAAAGAATAAGAGAAATGTGCTCCAATATGTTTTACAAGTTTAACATTATGAGAAAGAGAAGGGGATTGAAGATGAAAATTAATTTCAAAAGAGTGAGTTTGCAAAACATCTTGACAGTTGATCAACAAATGTTTTCTCAGAATTTTATTCATTTCATATAATTCGAGTATTAGAAAGCAATGATATTGCAGAAAATTCGCTGAAATCTTTGAAGAACATTATAAATCCACAGAAATTGGAATAAATTTTTTATAAGTGCTGCCATCTGGCCTCTGACATTAGACCCTTTGGTACAGAGCTTACAAGAAATGTCTTATGAAAAATCTCATGCATTGTCGATTTCGTAACCTCGATGATGAATCTGCAAAAACTTTTTATGCAACTACCTAAATACCCCATAATCCAAAAATTTTGCCATCAACATAAAATAAGTTTAGCGTATAAAGTGGAGGCTGACTTGCTAGTCAGGAACAGTGCACACGTACGTACCTTCATGTCGATTCATTTTCCGTTTAAAATCTCATATACGCCGATAGCGCGAGGTCTCGCGATCGAACGGCTTACGAAATACGATTATTACTCGCCACTGCGTTAACTCTTCACGTCGTTCAATGCAGCAGACACAATGGGGAAAACATTAATCGTCAAACAAAAAATTTTTCGTTAGAATTTCCAGCGTAAAACCTAACCCAACTAGGCTACCGTGACGTCACACTAGACCTACGCTCCCGGAGAACGTTGCGGGCAGGGTCTCTGTCATTGCGATGTTGCCATGTTTTTAATAAACGCAAGCGGAAAATTCAAATAGTTATAAACATATTTTCATATTATACTCTTATTGTATTAATTAAATCAACCGCAATTAGATTGCCTCTTTAGTAAAACTATTTACAAACATTTGTAACCGAGAAAGTAGTCTATAAATAGAATAAATGATTGTACTATATGCAATGTAACTAGAAGTGCTGACATTATTATATCTAATTTCTAACATTACACACACATATGTGAAATAAAAAACATCGTAACAAATTAAGAAATACTTTAATCTTACTAAAATTACTTTTTGTGCACATATTTGAGACATAATACTTGAAAATGTGTAAAACATATTTTACAAAAACAATATCAATTTTTCGATTGACAATCTATTATTATAGTTCATGCCGAAATTTGGCAATCTAGCATTACTTTTACGAACTTTTCCGAAAGATTCTCGTACAACTTCGTACCCTTTCGTATATAATCGCATACTCTCGAAACGTATTTCACGAAGTCGCTTCATTTATCGAACAATGGAGACAATAGTAGGACGAGTTCTTGTATATGGTGGCAAGGGTGCTTTAGGATCAACATGTGTTTCAAAATTTAAATCAAAAAATTGGGTGCGTGAATAAAATACATTATAATGTACATAGAAAGCTAAGTAATGATTTTATTATCAAGGGTATTGGCTTACTTCCTTATAGAAACTCTCATTCTCTTCCAATAGTTTAAAAAATTATAGATAAATAAGTACTGTCAATCAGTTTTATTTAATTAAAAACAAATTATAAAACAAGCATGTAATTGAAAATTATTAATGTTTTTGTTTTTTTAGCAATTAAACTTAAACAACTGTTAAGTTGAAGCGTACAAGCAACATTTCATTAAGTGGGGCGTATAACTTCTTGTTTTCGATTTTATAATGAACTTTATTGTTTCGAATGTTTTTTTCTTTAGGTTTATCTGCAAATTTAATTTAATAGCAAGCGTACTTAATTTTTTTCATTGCATTTTAATGTTTAAATGTTTGTTGCTATATAGATTACATTATTCAAGTAACTTAGAATATTTTCGCGCACTATTTTAAATGTACGAAATACAGCACATTCATAAAAGGGTTTACATATAAATACATATATATGTAAATACAGTACTATTTCTTTTTAGTTTATTACTTTGTACTATTTTCTTGTGATTATATTGTAAAATATAAATATTATGTATATACATAATGCAATGTGTATGAAATATATTTATTTACATAAATATTTATATTGTAAAAATGTAGTTCCAATAAGGAACTATTTTTACATGTAACTTCTGCTGAGCAATCTGAAACATGTAGGAAAATTACATCAAGGCCATAAGCAGTGAACTAGCTCCTTTCACATTTATAGATACCTTAAGTCCCATAATTTAAGATTAAAGCATGTTATTCTATCAATTATAATTTTAAGATATTTTATAGTATATTATGTAATGCACTTTTTTTTCAAATATCCATTATTCCTTATTAATATTGATTAAAATATAAAAGAAAATTGTCATATATGTTTAAAAGTATGTTATTTTATAATCATAGTGGGTTGGTTCTATTGATATGAAGGCAAATGAGCAAGCTGATATAAATGTGATTGTAAAGCCTGAAAATAATTGGCAAGAGCAGGTAATTTCATAAATAATTATAACAAGATAAATAAATATATGTTCATTTCTAATTACCCATTTTCTTTTTATGTCACATAGGAAGTTGATATTCTGCAACAAGTTACTAATACTTTGAAAGGTAATAAAGTAGATGCAATAATTTGTGTAGCTGGTGGATGGGCTGGTGGAAATGCATCTCATAAAGATTTTGTAAAGAATTGTGAGCTCATGTGGAAACAGAGTGTATGGAGTTCAGTTATTGCTAGTAGTATTGCTACACATCATTTAAAGGAGGGAGGATTCTTGTCACTGACTGGTGCCAAAGCAGCATTAGCAGGAACACCAGGTACTTACAAGATTTATTCAACACTGAGAAGGTACTTCATAATTATTTCTGTTATTTGATTAAAACAGGAATGATTGGATATGGGATGGCCAAAGCTGCAGTTCACCAGCTAACTAAGTCTTTAGCAGATGAAGGTAGTGGTCTTCCAAAGGATTCCTTAGTTACTGCAATTTTACCAGTTACTTTAGATACACCTATGAATAGAAAATGGATGCCCAATGCTGATACATCTAGTTGGACCCCACTTGAATTTGTTGCAGAGTGAGTAAAATTTCTGGTAGTTTTATGTTGTTATTTTTCCTCTTTTATTAATATTTTTATTTTGACAGCCTTTTCTGGAAATGGTCACAAAATCAGGAGCGTCCTATCAATGGTAGTCTTTTACAACTGATTACTAATAATAATAAAACAGAATTAATTACAGCTTGAAAAAGAGAGAAATAACTTTCTGGACCAACCATTTCTGAATATTTCCATGACAATATGCCTGTTATAAATGTTTAAAATTAATTCTTGTGATTAAATACTATCCTTAAAATATTTGTTTATTATCTGGTATGTATTGAAGACAGAATTTAAGATATACATATTTGTATATATGTAAAAATATCTTTAAACATTAATATGAGTACTATATTCATTCCATTGTAGTAAATCGACAATAATAAAACTGTGTAACAAGTTTTTTTTATATTTATTTTTATACAAATATAATATTTTTTAACACGAAATATAATTTGTAAAATGTGTTTATTGCAGACAAATAGAATTATGTATACAAATATTAATGTTAACTGTATAAAAAGTGTTATAAAAATAAAATAAATGTTTTAGCGCATCGTTAAATGTAATTTTTTTTAAAAGAATTATATATTGAATAGTAATATGTGAATAGTTTAGTAATAAAATATTTAACGGTATCCATGTATTTTAAGATCCTTAGTTTCGAGCGCCCGGATAGCTCAGTCGGTAGAGCATCAGACTTTTAATCTGAGGGTCCAGGGTTCGAGTCCCTGTTCGGGCGATTATTTTTTTTTCTTCATACAGTAAAAATTACACTTTAAATAAATTACACTTCAACAATATTTACTTAAGGATAAAAAGTAAGTACTTAACAAATTTGAATATTATATTAAGAATGCATAGATATATTATATATACCACAGTTCACCAGAGTCCATAACTGCGACGCGCAGGTTGGAAGATGGTGGGGGAACGCAGCGAGCTCTCCGCTAATCGCTTTCTACTTCGTTTGGGAGTAACGCCAATCAGGGCGAAGATGCGCACTGGAGATGCGCGAAGAACGAAAACTGGTCTTTTCGTAGTTATGGACTCTGAATAACTTAGGTAGGTGAACTACGGTATAACTTAGTATATCATAACTCACTTTATTTCATATACATATACAAAGAAAAATGTATGTTTAATATCTACTGTAGATTTTAAACAAAAGCTTCCATACTTGACTTTCTGTTTAGAAAATAATTGATATTAATTTATTGATGATACATATGTGTACTAACAATGATGTGATTTCTTTTTATTTTTTTCCTTCCCAATCTATTATCATCTGTCGTTCAGCTGAAACAAAAATGTACACACATTTATAATATAAAATTTTAACATCTTATTTATATTATTTACTATAGATACTCCCATATATTTATTCAAAAAATGAAATTTATTAAATTCATTAATTGTTGGTAATTATTCTTATATTTTTTACCTTCTTGTTGAATCTTTCTTTCTTCTGCCAGTTTAGCCTCTCTGATAGGTTTCAATCTAAGTTCTTCTTCGCGAAGAACTGCTTCTTTCTTCTCAAACCTTTTCTGATGAATTGTTCCATAAACAACACCAAGTAATAATAGACTCCATCTGGAAACCTAACAAAATATTATTGTTAAAAGACACCCATACATATTAAGACATGAAAATGTGACTGTTATAAACTCATCTACTTTATTCAATAAAGGAGATTACTAATATGTAAATCTTGTTCAATATGAACTATTACAAAGTCTGTTAGATAAGAAACAAATTTTTTTCAAAATATTACTTATATTTATGAATGTTAACAAAAAATTACTTCTTTAATTTTATGAAAATTATGTAATTAACTGGAAGCACTTGCTCGAGAACACATTCATATGAAGAACAAAAGAATATCATAATACATGTGACACAAATGACAGATGAACATTAAAATATAGTACACTTGACAAATGATTACAGAAAAAAAGTGATGCTCACTTTAATTAAAGGAGAGACGTGTAAAGGCTTGGCACCTGCTGCGATGGCCGACATGTTGCTAATATCACAATACTGCGTCCAACAACAGTTTATGCAGCAATACCATCCTATTCTAGATATAAATCTAAAACTTTCCGTAGATAGCGCAACGGTCCCCCTGTGGCTGGGGGGTTTAGAATACAGCCACGGTATCCCCTGCCTGTCGTAAGAGGCGACTAAAAGGGGGCGCAAGAGATAGACAGGGAAAAGGAATAAAAAGTATGGAAATAATGTAAGGAAAGAAAATGTAACGAGCAAAGGAAAAATGTAACATGAAAAGCAGAATAATGTAAATTGAAAATGGCGCGGTAAAGGATTAAATTTAAAAAGGGACAGATGCAAAGTCCCTAGAGTACGCCACCCCTAAATGGGGAAACCTATAATGAAATGAAATGAGATAGCGCAACGGTCTCTTATTAAATTGACCAATGAGTTTTTACGTCATTAGTATACTGTGTCATGCTGAGAAACTGTGGGAATCCCTCTTATTCAAGACAACATATCATATGAGAAGCTCTGTTATTACGAACAGTTATTATATAGAAGATCTACTCTAATTAACTTTAATACAAGTTTTTTTAAAGTCAGGTAAGTCAAATTTATTAAAATTTAATTAGATTTACTTAAAAAACTGTAGTTTTAAATTTAATTTATACTGAAAACATATATGTATAATTGTAAACCAGTAATCATTCTTTTACAATAAATAGGTTGATAAGATTATATATTTTATCATTAATGAAAACAATGTAATCATGATAAAAGGAAATTGAATTTTTGCAAACACCTTTTTATATGATTCAATTATATATTTAAAGGAATGGAAGGCACCATAAAACCTCCGGGTCCATTATCCAACAAAGGAAATATGGCTGAAAATTGGATGAGATGGAAGAAAGATTTTATGATCTTCTTGGAACTTAGTAACTTCATTGATAAATCCCAAGATATAAAAGCTTATCTTCTGAGAAACTACATAGGAGAAGTTGGTCTAAATATTATACAGAAAATGGTTTTTGAAAATGTAGCAGATAGAGATAATATATATGCATTACTAGCAAAGCTTGATAGATTCTTTAATCCTGTAAATGAAGTTGAGGCTAGATATAACTTTTTTACTAGGCACAAACAAAGAAATGAATCTATTGAAGCTTATATTACTGACTTAAAAGTGAGTTAATCTTACAAAGTTCCATGTACTTCTTTTTTTTTTATATTTATGTAAACTACATCAACTAATATTTGTTTACAGAGGAAGGCAGAAACTTGTAATTTTGGGAAGTTGACAGACAGTTTAATTAGAGATAAAGTAGTTGCCAATTTAACCGATAAAATACTCAGGAAAAAGTTGTTTGAAGTACAAAATCTTGATTTGCCAAAATTAGTGTCAATGTACAACGAACATAATGTTGTTATAACACAAACACAACAAGCTTCCTCAGAAGATACTAAGCAGAAAAAGGGAAACTCGTACTGTTGGAGATGTAAACAAAAACATCCTTTCAATCGTTGTCCTGCTTGGAATTTCAAATGTTCAGTTTGTAATGAACTTCATCACTTCAATTACTGTTGTCCAAGAAACAATCCTTCAAGTAAGAAAAGACAGGAAACAAATAAATGCAACGTATGTTATTTATATCATATTTATATTCAGTATTACTTTATTATAGTTAACAAAAAGAGATTAAAAGAATAATTATAGAAATTTTTTTGTAGTTTCCTACTGCACCATTACCCACTACCTGTGACCGAGTTTATCCGGATTTAAGATACGTTGATACACCCGAACATTCGGTACGATTCTAAATAACTTTTTTTAAATATAAAGTAACAATAAGATTTTTTTTGTTGAAATATAAACAGAATGAAAGTTACCAGCAAAATGCAACATTGATGAGTAATTTGTTTTAATACTTGGATTTTAACAACGGATGAAATTAATAATATTTTCCACTTTCAAAAAGCCTATAAATGGACAGGGAAGTACGCAAACAGCACACGCAAATCCCAATGTTAAAGAGGGGGATGCAGTAGAGAATTCATGTATACTCTCATAGAAGTATTATACGGAAATCAAATTTTTATCAGTATATGCGACAACATAACTTTTTTATTATAAATATATGATATCTTAATATATTAAATATAAAAGCGAAAAGGTACAGAATTGCATTAGTAAATAAATAATAAAATGTGTACAGAAATAACTATGTATTGTATACAACATCGAATAAATTCCAATTTTGACATTTAACGTTATTACAGTAATCCGTAAGTTAAATGCAATAATTTTTATAAACATTGGAAAAGAAACAAATGGCACATTAAATATTCACTACATACTTTGTTTTTTTTATCAACTGTAAAATTTAAAGAGCGAACTAAAACTATATGTGTATAATTATGTTCCATTCATTATTAATAAAAAGAACAAAAAAATGATTGATTTTGTTTGCTTTTCTTTGTTAGAAATATATGTTATATAACATTTCTTAAATGATACATACAACTTACTAAGTAAATAAAATAAATAAAGCACTAATCTCTTTGGTATGAGACTCATGTGATGATTGCGAAAAAAGTGATATATAATATTTTGTTTGATTTGATACTATAAATTTGTTATACATATATTAAATATACTAAAAATGTAATGGTGTTATTATTGATGTAATGTTTTATAATAAATTTATATAAATTTGTAATAATACATTAAAATTTGTTTCATTGTAAAATAATGTCATGGTGTATATACCGATATAAAATGCAATATAAAGTCACTGATGTATACATTATTTTACTATATATCAAATATGCAACTGATGATTCGATTATGCTTTAAACTTATATAAAATTATTTCCAATCTTCAAATAATTTAACATTTTATAAGTCTATAGGTATCTCTAGGTCAACTGCTATATAAAACAAATCCTTCCTTAATATATTAAATCACAATACATTGGTAATGCTTGGATAATAATTAAACATTGATGATATTACTTTATGAAAAATAAAATTAAATATGTAGTTCAAAACCAACAATCAAAAGCAGATGCTGGACAAGTATTTGAAATCCAGAAGCAGGTTTCTAAATTTTTCGATTAATATAAGAAATAGCAACAGCAACAATAACAATTTGTTAAAAATTATTATATAGGAAAATTATATAAACATGTAATATAAAAATCTATAGAAGTATGATTAAAACTATGATATTAACTCTTTACTATGTATATTATGCATACTTTATATGTGCGTCTCATAGAGAGGGAGTAAAATCCTTAATGAATTAAAAATTTCAATGTGAATGATATTGTGATTTACATATGCTTACAGTATATTAATTGATGCTTGTATATACGAAGAAATCTCAAATTTATATTTTATAAATGAGTTTATAAAAAAATTTGCGATAAAAACGTATTTCTGGTTAAATATATAAAAATTGTAAATTTTTAAAAATATGTTTATACTTTTATCACCAGTCCATTAATGATATATATCGCTTATCCATTTCTCCACTGGATGGACTAAAGGCAAATGTTATAATATTATTAGTGTATAGATTATAATATATAGTATAGATAAGCTGAGTAACATCACAATTGAGTGAACACATTATTCATGCAATTTTAACACAAATGTGTTACCCAACTTGTTGGTGTTTGTTTAGCATTAGTACATATTATTCTGCTTATACAAAAAAGGTACAAAGGGATGGTAACTTTCTAACTTCCTATTGTAAAGTGAATGTTATATATAAATATTATTATATGCAGCTTTCAACGTACTGGCAAGACAAATGATCATAAAATAATTTAGATCAAGTTACGGACGGATCTTGACTAAACTTGTCTATATCAGAAGAAAGCAAGAGTTTATTTAAGCTATAAGGTGGTCTTTTTGGTTTAGGTGGTGGTGTTGGCGGCTTCGTTTGAACGTCAAGATCGTCTGTAGGAGTTGGAAGTTTGCTTTTTGACCACTGTCCTAAAGATCGGTTTAAACTATTTATACTTCCCGTTCCACAATAGTTAGCAGATAATTCCTCTGGCAGGTTACAATAATCAGCTTCGCGTGTTTTCACAGGTAAAGGTGGTGGTAGATCATCTTCAGACGCTGTACTATCTGTAGTACCAATACTATCTCTGTTCCCTTTTCCTAAACTATTTGAATCTATTCCATTATTTATATTTCTTAAATAATGTTGAGATTGCCCAGATAAACGGTTACTTATTCTTCTTTCTTTCTCTACTTCTGATCTTAAAGGACGCTTTGGTGTTAGCTGCACAAAAATTGTATCTTTTCCATTTTTTTTCTTCTTGTTCTATTACCATTAATCATGCTTAAAAACCTTAATGTTTTACCTCTTGACGGAGTTCAAATACTGGAGTACTAGGATAACTGGACATTAACGGAATAACAGGAGTCGATGTGGTTTGTGGTAAATCTGTTGTAGTATACCACTGACTTGTTGGTTGATCACTTTTTGTAGACGCAGCTGAATCACTTTTTCGTGAATTTCTTCGTTTCGAATCCTTCTTCTTATTCGTCCCTGGACTTGAGCTTGCTAATGCTTTTTGTAGAGATGCTGTTGATAGGATATGTGACCGTATCGAAGCGTTCCTGCGTATCAATATACATTATTGTTAATATTATTTCATTAGAATATTTAAACGATTAATAATAACGGAACTAATATTGTACAAATATATAGCTCGTTATTTACCTATTTAGTAGGACAAGCGGTTGTGTTATTGAAGATATTTTATTCAGGAGCAAATACGGTAGTATAAAAAGTGATATAAAAGAAATAATATCATGCAGATAAAGAATAGCACAAAAGAATGAAAGAAAATAGTGTAATATATACAAATATAATTTTAGTAACATACATGTACATATGTAGCTATTTTAATATTTTTATTTTTTTGTTAATAGCATATTTTAAAAAATAACATTTGCTTAAAAAAATTTTTTCAAAAAAACAGAACCAAGCATAACTTTCAACAATAAAATAAATTAATCAACATATTAACTTAGAGAAATTACATAAAGAATAACATAAAGCATTAAACGCAACAAAAATTGTATATGTATATACACATGTGTACATATACAAAAAATGCTAGGTGCGAAGGAAGGATAATAGGATATTATGTTTATCAGATCCAACAGCAAAATTCCTGAAATCATACATAAATTATTCTAATATTCATTCGTGAATATAGGAATAAAGGATTATAGAATTATAGAAGAAAGTTGAAAATTGATATACATTGATTAGTTAATACGTGGTACATGACTACTAATATGTTCACATACATATCTACTTTCTTACATTACTGTCCTAATGCTTTTACCTTGATAAACTGATGTTTTGAGTACCAGATGAGGGTGTATTGTTGTTAAAATTGAATGATGCGAGCGACTTGAATGTTGCAACTTGGGATCTCGTAAGAGAGGATACCCTGGAGTGAGTTCCACAGCTGAACGAGATAATTATGAAGTAATCACATATAATAAACAATATTGGAGGTATTTATATAGACTGTTCTATTCCTTTTTACATAAACTATGTGTCCTAATTTTTAGGTCGATTTTATTTTTACATGCATACCAATATTCACAATACTACACAAATAATATTTAAAAATAAATAAATTTATAATCCCATACCAAAGCCAACGTAATTGAATGATTGTGATAACATGAGTGAAATTAATGTTAGTACAAATAATAGCAATATTTGCAGCAAATAGTGTTACCTACAAGAATTATTACTTACTCTGAATTCGTTATATTTGACTCCGATAAACGATGATTATCGCCTCTCGAAGCTTGTGTTCTTCGCATTGTTACAGTATGAGTTAAAGTCTCAATTTGTAAATCACATGTCTATAAGCAATAGATACAACGATTAATTTCTTCCTTAATTAAATTGTTTCCTTGAATTAGATATTTTATTCATCAATAACTTAAATTACCCTTTTCCCATATTTTGCCTCAACATGATTTTTCAATGATGTAAAACATTGTTCTAAACGTTGGTGAAACGGAGTCAAATCAGGAGGAGCACGTGCTTTATGTAACTGAACGCCGATACCTAACAATGGAATTTGTTCAGCAATCAATCCTTCTAACTTTAAAAGATCAGAACTCTCTTCGGGATGAGAAGTTCGGTATTCGACATTGAGAAATGCTTTCTCATAATTGTCGATACCGCCCATTACCGCAGGGTCCAGTATACCATTGAGTTTCATACTAAGTGGATGTAATTGAAGACTATTATCAGCTTTGTGTGCTATAATCAAATCTCTTAATGCAGTATTTGTAGCTTCCATCGTTTCAATCGCATTACGAAGAGGACTGACTAAGTAAGTTTCACTGGATGTGACAGGAAAACATCTGAGAATGCCTGGTAAAGGATGACTTGTAACAAGTACTGTTCTTTCTAGCCACAATGAAGCAAATTCATTATTGTTAACGACATTTGTTTCTTTTTCTTTGTTAGTAGAATTTCCAACAGCAATGTTTATATCTTTCTTTGGTGCTGGTCTTGAAAACCGAAAACGTTGTACATCATTCACTCGATGATACCTTAAATATAATTTTGAAATAAAATTTTAATTTCATGATAATAACTTGCTATAAATACTATATTGCATTTTCACCTTAATACTGCTTCTGCTGTTATAGGCTTTCCGCTAAACCGATGCCTCTTCTCGTCCATTAATGGATCTACCTTGTTAATTTGAACATATTGATTATTGGATTCCAATATTTCTGGAGTAGGAGGAGACAACTTATTCATTTGTTCTGCATTTGGTAATTGATTTAAAGTTCGTGAACAAAAATCACTAAGGCGTTCATATTCTTTGCCACGATAAATAAATATCTACAATAAATAAATATCTTACATAACATAAGATCTAAATAATCGATAGGAATGCACATATATATATATATATATATTAACGTATGTGTTAATTTTACATGAAATACCTTATTTTGCAAAAATGCTGGATGTCCTCGACCATAATAGGCAACTTTAAAATATTCAGGTTCAGGTCTTAATTGTTTTATTATAGAGTCATAAAATTTAGCCATGCGTCTTAATAACGTTGAAAGTTGTAAATAATCAAAAGTTTCTTCTTCGTATTGTGCAACTAATTCTTTACAGACTGCGAGCGCGCATTCCCACATTTTACCTTTGTCAAAATATTCAATCATATCATTGTACAATGCTTCTTTTAATTCGCGATGCGTTTGGCATGATAAATATCTAAAATTTAAAATATTTTAATTATAAATTTTTCATCAAATTATTACATGAAACAACCTAATAAATATACCTGTGTGATTTTAAGAGCGGTGGCAACGGTTGATCACTCCAGGCTAATAATTGACTATGTAATTTCAAGGAGTATGCTGCTTCAGTGTAATTGTCACATTCTAAATGTAGCTCACACAGTTTGTTTACGTATCTATAGCATAAAACGTAACAACATTAATAAAAGAATTTCCTGATTGCCTCTGAAAATATTTCAAGTAAATTAATTCTTTATCAGAAAAGTATTGATTACCTAATATACATTTCTTCCCTGTTTATTTCAGAATAAAATTCTAATAAGTTCACGATACATAACATTCTGTGTTCCTGTGATTCAGCATGAATAATATCGCGATATTGTAATAAACGTTCCATGAGTTTAGCTACGGTATCAACAAAGCGTAATCCTTGTTCCCGCATAGTTGAGTGCTTTTCACATAGATTACCCATTACTTGAATCCAAAGTGAACGAAATTGTTCGTCTCCTCTTCCTCCCTCAACCTGTTACGATATTATGTAAATATATTTCAATAAACAAATAAGCATGTTTATAATGAACATGTCATACCAAAATATCCAATTTCGCGATCATTTCGTTTTCATATTCTATAAAATTAGCTTTTATATGAGCAGGATCTCTTTTTGTATCACCATATCCTTCAGTGATACGCGAGCTATAAAATTCACATTGCATCATGTCAAAAAATATAGGAATGGTTGCTTTTCTTAATTCACTCTCTGGAATTAGTGCCATTTCTAATATTGCTCCAACCAGAGAAGGAACAAACAATATTTTATGTTGTCCCAAATTAAACCACATTGACCGTATTTCAAACGCAGTTTCTCTATAAACAACAAAAAAGAAGTAAAGTTTAACAACATCCATACCGTTCATTTTCGTTGCAAATTAAATATACTTGAAAGTTCAAAGAATATTTATATAAATCTGTACCTGCGCATATCATTGTAACGAGAAACAATACGATTACGCTTTGATGGCGTAAATATCTCCAATTGTAAAGCTGGTTGTGTCAGGAATGCAATTGCACAATGAAAAAAGTTAGACCAAGCTTGCTGTTCAAACTCGGTAAAGAAATAATCCCTGATAGTGCCCGAGAAGTAACGTAATGATTTTAAAATAATACTATTTTGAAGCATAATCATTTCACACCAATCTCCTGGAAACACGCTTTTTGACACTAAATCTTTGAACACTAATAATATTTCCATAAGGAAATCAAGCAAATCAAATTTAGTTCTAAAATGATGTATATAAATTTCATAATGTTGTTGTGTCATTTGTCTGAAATGCATACACTGTTAGATATCATTTTCTCTTAACATTATACATATACCTGTAGTTTAATATCTATTTTTTTTACCTGAATATTGCTAACATAACTGAAACTAAATTTCCTACTAGCGGATTTTCTCTGTCCATTGATATAACAGTTTGTATAATAGTTCTCAAGGCAGTGAGCATAATTTCCTTTACATCCTGTACTGTATTTCCTATATCTTTTCTAAATGTTAATTCCAGGATGTCAGATAATATCTTGACACACAATTCTACCTATATCAACATAAAATAAAAATGCGTTTCTTCCTATTATTAACATTATTACATATCTTTAATAAGTATCTTCGTGAACATAATTAAAAAAAAAAAAAAAATAATTAAACAAGATAGCAATGTTAACAGCATTCCTGGAAATTTAATGTAAAATATTTATTACAGATGAATCAATACATCACATGTTAATTTCCATATCGATCCAAAATTATCTTGCAAATAATGCATTCAAATTCACCGTGTATATTTCAACAATTACCTCTTCAGAGTAGCCGCGGTGTTGGTTGAGCCGATGCCGATTTTCGCCGAGCAGCCTGGCTACCTTCGCCACGCTTTTTCCAGGCGTACTTGAGAGCCCCTTTATAGGTCAATAACCAAAACCAAACCAAACACAAAAAATGAAACAGCCCTATGTTAGTTAGAATATAATGCCAATTTATGCATATAAATAAAGTTATTCCCTTAATACTGCTCATCACCTAAGACAAATTGTGTTATAAACCTGCATGCAAGAAGGATGCAGTGCTTAAAGCAATAGAACAATAGTTGTAAAAGGGCAAAGAAACTACATTAAATACAAGAATTTCTACAAAAGATTGCCAATGCCCTTCAAGATGTGACTAAAAAGTTATTCTAATGATAAATGTTTTTTTATGATCTAATCAAAATGAAGAGACAGACACATGAATAATGATTTATATTTTATGGATTTATTCAGATAAATTAAACGTATCAATTTATGATACGCTGTATCATGCTATATCAAAGTATAACAATGCAATTTAATTTTCATGCTGTACTCAAACTTTACAAAGGATGTCTTTCATTTCATAAACAAAAAATACATCAATGTTTTTGTACTACTTTAAATTTATAGTGTTAATATGACTAAAATCAATTAAATATACTACAAAATAAAGACATCCTGTTTAAGGGGAAAAACGCAAGATTGATGAGATTCATAGAAAAGTGCGTGGCGGAAGGATGTCAGGCTGCACGGAAAGCACAAATAATGACACTATTCGTAAGTTCATGTAAGAAAATTTTAAATGCAAATAAAAAGCTCCGTTCACATTTTGACTATAACAATCGCGACAAAAATGATACATGAAATTTATAATGCCCTAAATATAAGACGTACATACACGTGATCCCAAGCTTTACTATATTATGTTAACATTAACATGAACGGAGCTTTAATAAAAACGTATCAAATTACTCAGAAATGAATTTCATATTTGAAAAAATACATATTACAATCGATAGATTTAGTTATTTTCATTTTCTTCACATGAAATCTTAAATGATAATCATTATATTTCATAACATCGTGTATCTTACCTCTTCTTTAGCTTCCAATAAATCTCGAACCAAAATAGTAATTCGAGGTAATAAAATTGCTCTACATTCTGCATTCAGAAAAAGAGGACTGTGAACAATATCGTTTACTGTCATCATTTTCTGTTTAGTCAATCTTCCTGATGGCAAAGTAATTAATAAGTCAGTCAAAATTGTACTCAATTGTTTGCCACTATAGACTCGTAATAAATGAGGTATAGTAGTTGGTAAATATTTAAGGCATGCTCCTTGAACCAATAAAGTACTATCCGTTTCATGTCTCATAAGTTCAACAATAGATTTTAATAATTCTGTTAACGTTTGAGAAAATTCTTCTTCATCTTGATTTAACCTATTGTAAAATAAATATTTAAAAGAAAAAGGAATCGTTTAAAAAGAATCTAATAGAATTAGTAACGAAACATACGTACTCAGTGAATAAAAGACGAGATTCTACAACAAATCTCATACAATACTGAAGGCTTTTCATTGTTTTAAGAAGTATATCACGTTCTTGCCCATCATTATTAGTTGCATTATCTATGCGTTTACGTAATACTGCTATTAATTTTTTATACGCTAGTGTTGCAGAGAAACTTTCAGAAATATATAAATCCAATACTGGTTGGAAGTGTTGATATTTTCTATCAGACACTAAACCAATAATATAGAGCAAACATTCAAATACCATATCATCATAAACATCACTGTCTGAATTACTCATTAGTATATTAAATAAGGCATCTAAAACGTCCTGAAGGAAGGATGATATTAGTAGTAATGCTAGATGTATGAAAATCTTATCTATTAATTTTTATAAGTATATTATGTGATATAAAAAAGTATACAAACCTGTAAAAACTTTACTACTTCTTCACCATCAACCTTCATCAAGGCAGCTAAAGATTCTTTTAAGTCAGTATTATGTGATGCCCAGTTCAACAAACCTAACAAATCTACATTTTGTGTTAATTTTGTTGAACAAATATTAGTTGCTATCAAAAAACTATCTTTACTACTTAAAGTAAAAGATCCTAATGTTGGCTTTTTTTCAACATTTAGTTCAACCTATATAAAGAATTAATTATCGAATTTTGCCAAACTTATAAATAAAAATGATTTAATTTTAATATCGATTTACCAATTCACCCCTCGTTGATGGCAGTTTCAAATATGAAATATCAGTTTCCTCATACTTTTTTTGGTCTAACTTATAGACTAATAACTCATGTTGTATATCTTGTAATGTTGTTCCATTACGTTGCATTAATTTTACATAACTTAAGGCAAAAGGTTTTTCAGATTTATCTTTTGCTTCATTTGAACTGCGATGTTTAAACGTAAATTTCAAATGAGCCTGTTTAAATTCTTCAATAGGTACAGCAATTTTGAAAGTTTCACACCATCTAGGTTTATCTTCATGATAATAAATAACACTATGATATTCGTCGATGGGTGAAGTTCCACCACCCAGTGTCATAACTCCTGGTATTGGTACACCGCATTCGTTACATACTTTAACCTATCAAGAAATTAAGTAATAACATACTTTTAAACATTTCATTAATTTTTAAAATAATACTAACCGTAACTTCGACATTTTTATCCGTGGACTTTGATCCTTTATTAAATTCACCACTAATTAATGTCAGGTATAAATCATTTCTCACATCACCTGGCAAAATAACTTCTGGGAATCCCATTTTTCTTGCAATTGCAACATTACCAAGTACTAAATGGGGGTTTTCATCTCGTACCTAAGTATTAATTATCTATAAATATCATGAAATGTATTTTTAACTATTCTTTTTTTTTATTAAGATTTACTTGTTTAGGATCTCCTCTAAGCAACTTCAAGCTAGCCCATAATCCCTGACCACCTCCAAAGCTGCCACTATTACCATTATTACTTTTTTGAATATTTGTCTCTTTTTGGGAAAGAATTCTACGTAATGTGCCATCTAAACTTTCTTTCTCACAACATCTGAAACAATAATTAAAAAACCAACAAAACAGATTCATTTTAATTGTATTCATAAGAAGTTTCTTATGAATACATGTTTATAATACAAGATGTAATAAAAGTATTACACTTACTGTACAAATGGAATAAAGTGATGGTGATCTGAGTCACCTTCAAGTTTACCAGCAATATATAAAGTAATATCCATTGCTGCTACACCAAATGGTCTCCGCATATTTTCAGTGTTTTTAATTTTTTTATTTGTTTGTGCAACGCTTGAACGCCGGTGATCAATATCTTTAGCTTCCATACCTCCTATCCTAATAACATAACAAGCTAAATAAACTTTATCTCTGGCTAAATCTCTAGAGCCAAGGTCTGTAAATAAAACACGAAGATTGTGAAGTTGATCTACGTCTTTGGCAAGTCCTTCCTTACTCCATGACACCACGTAATTTTCAGTAATTGCTTTCATTTCACGACCATCATATAAAGTTAATAATAATTCAACATCCTCTGCTATTTTACATACAAAATTTCTCACACTAACAAAAAATATATGTGAATATACAGGTGCTTGTGGTTTAGAAGGCTTTTTCTTCGTGTCATTAGCTGCCTTTCTTATTCTTTCTGCAGCTGTTTCATGGTGATAATATAATTGAACTGTACTTGTCTCTTCAGGGTTAAGAACATTTCCATGATCATCACGAACAACCATATCCATTCCTAACAACTGATTACCAGTATCAATTTTAGCTGTGGCTAATCTTTTCATATCTTTTAATTCATCCACTGTCAATGTGCCACTTAAAATTTTACTTCTATATCCTATTAATTCTAGAATTTGTTGTTGCATTGTTCTAAAATGTTCTGAATGAATCTGTACATAAAAGAAATTATGTTAATCATTTAGTTATCAACCATGATTTTATAACTATTTGATGACACAGACCACATATAAATGTTTCCAATGGTGTCCCCATTCTCTTAAGACGTTTGTAATTTCATGTATCAAACAATCCATATTAGCTGATTGTTGCAGAACATGTATGTAAGATTTTGGAAACATTCCATATGTTCCTCTAAATTTATTGCGTCCATAATACCAATCTCCACATTCTTCTAATATATATACTATTTCTCCAACAGTTAATCTTAATGCATGAGGATTTCCATGTATAAAAGTATGGATAGCTAGATAATGAAAATTAATTATACATATATAACAAATCAGAAACTTAAATGGAAAGAATAAACATTTTATTAACTATTAATTATTACAAATATATTATGTAATATCAAAAACATAATGTATGTCATGTAATTATTATGTAAACGATAACATTATAAAAAACTATAAATTACTTTAACAATATGTACAATTCAATTAAGTACTGTTGAATAATATAATGTAATATAATACAAAACTCATATTTATGTATATGGAAGGGTTTTGTAATAATAAAGATATAGTAAAATGATTATACATTGACGTTTCGCGCGCAAAACAAAAACTAAAACTTAAAACATTATCTTGCTGGGGCACCTCCCAGGATGTTAGGCTTTATAAAGGCTAAATTAATAACCTTTGACAAATTATTTCTTACCTACTCCTAGCTGTTCTTTGACCTGTGTCCATGCCATTGTTATTTTCATTGAAAATTTGTTCCAACAATATATGTACACTAATTACATTTCGATTCGCCCGTTTGTTGTGCGAGCAAAATACGACACCTTTATCTTGACATTTAACTGTAATACGCAACAGAGGAAAGAAGTGATTACAGATAGAAAAAGATTGGACATGCCATTGTTCTTGAGGGGGAATGAATTGGGGAGCCCAGATACCCCCAGGTGAAGTTAGGTCTACAAGTAGAGCACTCCACCGCATAGGCATCTATGCTCCACCGACGTATACATACAAATACATATGACACTCGAGCCAACAAGCATTATGCCTAATTCACAGGAGACACTTTTATATTCGAGAAAGAATAAAACTTTTTCAAGTAAATAGTTCATTAATTATGCCTATATCTCTTACAACCTGCTTTCTTTATATCCCTGCATCCCTCACATGCCAGCATTCCTTACATCCCCGCAACCATTACATCCTGCGATGTCCCCTAAATCCCTTTTTTTTTTTATTTTACGATGTGGAAATCTTTAGAAAGATACCTCCGGCTCCCCTTTAATATTTATTTTTTTTTTTTTTTTTTTTTTTTTTTTGCCAACGGGGTGGAAAATGCTTTATGCACACCGGGCTGAGAGTGCCCGCCCGGTAGTGTGGGACTCCTGATACCCACTAAAAACCACCCCCTCGTACTTACCCTTTATCAATAATATATATAGGACCAGGAAGGCCGGAACCGCCTCGTCGGCATTACTTCAGCCCCCTGTTTGTCCTCCTCACTAACATCGGTTCATACTGCCGCCAACATTTAAATGCACCTTGCCAATTCGTCTACCTTCTATCTCACTTCCCTATAGTTATGGGCTTTAAGATCGCTCTCTGGCGTCTCGTGCCACTAACTTTATTCCTCTAGTCTGTGGCCGAGTTTACTATGTGCATAATCATAGACTGTCGGCCTCCAGCCCCCTTGGGGAGGGGCCGAATGTAGTGTGGGATTTTTACCCACTAAAGCCACCTCGGTAGCCTGCACTGAGGCTACAGAGATGGCCCCGGGACCTCCGACGAACACGCCAGGACCCCCGCGCCCCTGACGCACAGGCGCCAAGTCTCAGGGGAGGGTTTGACCATCCCCCATGTACCAAACTCCGTCAGGGCCCCAGCCCCGGCCCCTTGCGGCCTTGCGGTCAAGCTTCAGACTTGCAGATTAAATCCCAGCATCCCTTATACCGCCCCATTCCTTACATTCCTGCAGCCCTTATATTCCTGCATTCCTCACATATTGGCATCCTTTACATCTCTGCATCCCTTACTGAAATTTTGCAAAATTTCTGGCCGCCTGGCGGCAAAAATCGGAACTAAATTTTCGATGTCGAATCAGCGCCACCTGGCGGCGGAGAAAGGAACTACACCTTGCAAGATTTCTGGCCCTCTGGCGGCAAAAATTCCAACTAATTTTTCGATGACGAATCAGCGCCACCTGGCGGTGGAAAAAGGAACTACAGCTTGCAAGGTTTCTGGCCGCCTGGCGGCAAAAATCGGAACTAAATTTTCGATGTCGAACCAGCGCCATCTGGCGGCGAAAAAAGGAACCACAGCCCGCAAGATTTCTGGCCCCCTGGCGGCAAAAATTCGAACTAAATTTTCGGTGTCAGGTCAGCGCCATCTGGCGACGGAAAAAGGAACTACAGCATGCAAGATTTCTGGCCCCCTGGCGGCAAAAATTCGAACTAAATTTTCGGTGTCGAATCAGCTCCATCTGGCGGCGGAAAAAGGAACTACAGCATGCAAGATTTCTGGCCCCCTGGCGGCAAAAATTCGAACTAAATTTTCGGTGTCGAATCAGCTCCATCTGGCGGCGAAAAAAGGAACTACAGCGTGCAAGATATCTGGCCCTCTGGCGGCAAAAATTCGAACTAAATTTTCGATGTCGAATCAGCGCCCTCTGGCATTGAAAATGGAGACTAAATTTGGTACAATTTTCTGCTGTCTGGTTTCGGAATGTAAGGGATGTAAGGAGGAATGGTAAGAGCGGTATAAGGGATGCAGGGATGTAGATAATTCCGCAGGATGTAAAAGTTGCGGGGATGTAAGGAATGCTGGCATGTAATGGATGGAGGGATGTAAGGAATGTAGACATATGGGATGCAGAAATATAAAGAAAGCAGGTTTGTGAGAGATATAGGCATAATTAATGAACTACTTACTTGAGAAATTCTTAATTCTTATTTTATTTCCCACCAAAGGTTACAATTCCGTTCACCCTTGGGGGCGGCGTACTAGTTGAAACAGTTTTATTCTTCCTCGAATACGAAAGTGTCTCCTGTGAATAAATATACGAAAATATTCTTAACAAGGAATGACATATTAAGGTGGACAAATTTTTCTACCTGGAGGCTTGTACATCATCCCTTGAATGCTCGTTTTGTTCTATCTGACCCAAAGAATGGTAGTTTGGTACCCATTTGGACACACGATTTACAGAAATATTTATATTACGAATAAATTGATGCTGGTGAGTCCGATCCGTCATTTTCTTGACGGTTGACACACATAAATTTCAATATTTTATAATTTTTTGACGATTTGGGTAATATAAGGACTAGACTACAATTCTTTAGGGCCTCCCGGACATGTCCCTCTAATTTTTTTGCATTCTGTTTAGAAATGACGACGTAATTTGAGAACTCGCGTCTAGGGATTTTTCTAGAAACTGTCGGTAAAGTTTTCGATGTTCGTATCATCGTAAAACATATTACATATATAAAATAATTCGAATGTAATATAAATATATATGTATATTTATAATTTTTGTGCAAAATAAGGACTTGGGCTTTTTGTTTGCAATCAAAATTTTATCATTTTTTATGCAGAATATCACTATCATGATTCATATTTATGCATTCTTTTTATATGTGAACCGATGTGAATATTCGGCATTTTCCTCACTTTGCAATTAAAACACGCGGAGATTTTTATTGTGAGTTATTTTGAAATCTTTTTCTCTATATAATATATAATTTTTTATATAAACCTTCTTTAATTTAATACTTATTATTTCATTCATATTTTATTCTTATTTATTCATGCAAAATCTTACAAATAATTACAGTCAATCGGGTACCAATAATAAATTAAACGATGGCGCATTATGAAATTGACAAAGTAATGGAACATACAACATCTAAAAGGTAACATTATTATGTTTGTAACAGTTAATTGTTGAGAATTTAATTATTTGGTGTCTGAACAAATGATTTTTAATTCTTTCCTTGCTTTTTATTTGTTACACGATTATTACATGTCACGTGTATCTGTTAAATAATTAAAGTAGTTATCGCAAATAATCGTTCTACATGTATAAAATATATTTTTTGTTTATTTTTAGCGGAGAATTTACATTATACGTGAATAACCTACCCAAGGAATTAAATGAAGTATGTAAAAGCATTGTCTTTTATTATAATTACATATTACAAATTTTGTTATTTACAAAAATATATTGCATTTTATTCATCTTCTATTTGAAGAGTAACATAAATATTAATATTTATATATATATCTATGTATAATACAATATAAATCATTTAATTGTTATTTTAAAGAATGGTTTAATGCAAATCTTCAACCACTATGGAGATGTTAAAGGACATTTTTATCGTCCAAATGCCAGTTGGGCTTTTATTACTTATAATACATATCGTGAAGCTGAAAATGCTATCAAGGATTTACATGATGTATTACCATTACATTTGAAAGTATCATTTGCAAATGAAAAAGCATCTAACATAGTTCAATTTCCAAAAAGATCTGATTCTGAGCATATTACAGAATTAAATAATGGCAAAGATATAAGGAATGTTAGATATGAAAACAATTTACCGTAAGTATATATTTATAAATTTAGTCATTTTAATGACCTGGACTTTTATAAATCACATGAAAATTGAAAACCGATTTGTAAATATATGCAGTTTGCAAGCAAAAGGACGGGGCAAACTTTTAGATATACTTAAAAAAGTGGAACCAAATTCAGAGTTACCTACATACACATATACAACAGATACTGATTTATTGTACCCATATCCTGTAGATCCATATACATATAATCCATATGAAAATGCAGAACCTTATGGAAATACCAATACATTATGGACAAGGTATTATTAAAAATTGTATAGAATATATGTTAAACATTTTCTGAATGTACATATATTTAAAAACATTTTAGAGGACAGTTAACCATTACACAAGATGGAAAGAGACATGTTTCATTAGGCAGAGGTTATACAATGTATGAAATCCCATGTCCTGAGCCTGAAGTTCAGAATCATATTCATAAAGTACATGAAAAACGTACTAATGTAAGTGACATATTAATGAATTCAGAGAAAGATATTCTATAGTAATATTTTAATAAAAATTTAAGACTATAAGTTACAATTTGATTTAATAGGGGTTGTATGAATATGGCAAAGATGTGTTACAAACTGCAATTGGGAATTGCAAAAAATGTTCTAGGAAATCAAAATTTAGTTGTGAAAGATGTCATAGTTTTTACTGTAGTAAAAGCTGTCAAGTTGCTGATTGGGCACAACATAAAACTAAATGTCAAGATATTCCGTAAGCATTCTCTTTTACATATTCATTTATCTCACCGAAACTTTGCATATATTTTTTAACATTTCTCGATTTTGTATCTTATTATTAGAATGTTAGTGCCGCTACCAGAGTATTCTACCCCTGTATCACGATCGAATGAAGAGCAGACGCCTTCTAGAAATATCTCCCGTATTCAAATGCCTCTTCGACAACCGAAGAAATTAATGAATGCATTAACATCTTCAAAAGAAGGTATTAATACCATTGCAAAAGATGAAGATGAAAATAACACAAGTGTAGCAGATTCTAATGACAATACACATGATAATACGTTGAAGAAAATACATACCAATACCAATGGTCAACATGATGCATATCAGAAAAATGAAGCAAAAGAAAAAATAACAACTCCTGCATATAATAGAATTAGTACCGAATCTAAACAAGTTGATGTCGATAATAAATTCAAAACTGATAATAAATATACTCAGTCAAATCCAATCAATCAGCCTAAGAAACCACTTGAAAAAGACAATGATGATGAAAACTTAGAAAAACACACCAAAAGGTTACAACCTTTTGGTATAAATGATGTGAAAAAGATGGAAGAAGATATAGCTTTTTCCAAACATACATTTTTACCAAAATCTAAATTTACTGATGTAAGGGTAATCTTAAAGTTAGATCGTGAAATTTGGATTCAGAAGGTAGAAGATGACAATGATCTTATACAACTGATGACGGAGTTACAAGATGAAGCAGAAAAAAACCCCAAAATGGAACCAATAATCGGTAATATGTATGCTGTTCAGTATGAAAATGTTTGGCATAGGGCTGTAGTTACAGCTTTAAATCCTACAAAAGTACATTACATAGATTACGGTAATGATGAAATTGTAGAAACAAACGATTTTCGTGAAATTAATAAATACAAAAATATTCCAAGATTTTGTGCAAAACTTCGTTTATCAGAAAAGGCAAACAAAAAATATAAAAACCTCAAATATGAAGATATAATAGCGGTTAAAATGATATCAGTCGATTCGAATAAAGTAATTAATATTGAAGTTGAAGGAGAAAACGATACATCAACATTAGATGTAATTCCAAAAAATGCTTCGATGACGGATAATTCAACTACTATAAAACCTAATGATAAAACTCCAGATTTACAAAAAGTTCCTATTAACGATAAAACATCAAGCCTTTTAAACAACCTGAAAAATGTGGTGAATACCGTGTTTGTTGGAGAAATAGGTATTTTAGAAATTCATGCAGAATTAAGTCAGAATATTTACAGTATTACGTTATTACCACATAGTGCAACATCCAATTATGAGAAACTCTTAAATGACTTACCTGCAATGTGTGCAGACACAGTAGAAAACTCAGTTCATAGGTAATATTATTGATTAATGTATAAGTACTTTTATAAAATAGTGTTAATACTGTGAACTATTAAATTGTTAGACCACAGATAGGAGATTTAATATGTGGGCAAAGGCTTGATGGCGATTGGCTTAGAGGATATGTTTTATCCCTTGAATCTCCATTAAAAATGGCTATAATAGATGAAGGTAGAATGGCGACAATTACGAAAACTGTGCCATGTACTGAACAGTTTTTGAATATTTGTGCATTTGGTGCAGTGTGTAAAGTAACTGATGTTAAATACAAATTTAATGTAAGTTCAAAGATATGCGTTATACATGTCACACATTGTTTTTCTTCAGTACTATAAATTACAATTTGCAGGAAGGTGATCAATATGAATTTAAAGTGATAGGACAAAAAACTGATAAAAAACCGGAGGAAATAGAAATAGAAATTACTAAAGAACAAGATAAAGTAAAAGCTATTGTAAAGCCTTGGATACCAATGCCTGAGCAGAAAGGATTACAATATGCTGAATTAAAAAGTGGATCCGAGGTATGAATATTGATTATACTTTACGTTAAAAATGGTGCAATTTAGTATACTAAAAAATATAGTTCTTTATAAAAATGATAATTCCAGGTATGCTTAACTGCTTTCCGAAGTCATAATTTTTTATTCGCTCGATCTTTAAGCACTTCAGAATTAGAACATTATAATTACATTATGCAAAATGTTGCAAAGTGTGCTCAAACATGTACGTAATGATTCATAGTATAATATAAACTAAATGTAAGATTAATTTCCATAAGATAAAATGTGTTTTTTTTGTATCAGCTCCATACTTAAAAGAATTACCGGTTGTTGGACAAATGGTAATAGCTCAGTATCTTGATGAAAATTATTATCGAGCGATTGTCACTAAAGTACAGGATGATAAAGTTGCAATTTCTTATATTGATTTCGGAAATACAGAAGTTGTGAACGTAAAGAAACTTAAAGTTTTAAACAATGATTTAAAAGAGGTATGTTATTACATAATATATGTCTAATAGTATAGTATCATTCAAAGCACTCTACATCTTACAAATATGTCCCAAAAGATGCGATCTTGCACAGCCAAGATCATTTTAAAAGATGTTCCTCGAGATATTCCTATGACAAACGAAGTGAGCAATTATCTCAGTTCTTTGGTAGGATTTGATGTTCCTTTAATATGTACATTTGATGGTATACCTTCTAAAGATGGTGTGTATCTTAAAAATCAAGATGGAAGCAGTATTAATAAAAAAGTAAGTGAAATGCTCAAACCACCGACAAAGGAGACTGCCGAAAAAGGTAATTATTCTAAATTAATAAAATTTAATTTGATATCGATATACAAATATTATTAAAATTGATAACAACTTGTTACAGATAAAACATGTTATATGATAAATGATATAAATGTTGTCAGCTTAGGGAATGTCGGAGACACTGTTGACGTTCTTGTATTAGTTACTATTGAGGAAGGTTACAAATATGCAATATGCCCATTAGATTATTACTTAACAAACCATGTTTACGATGTAATGCCTAAACTGGTAATATATATTTTAAATTTCTATTATGCTTGTTATATATTTTAGTGCATGTATATACGCATATTTATTGTTATTAAAGACAAAAGCATATTGTGAATCAAGCGATTACTATATTCCTCGCGAGAAAGAGCTTTGTCTTGCTCTTTATGAAGATGACTGGTATCGCGCAACTTGCCTCTGTCGTAGTGAAACGCTTACAACAAGTTCTGTTTTCTTTATCGACTTTGGTAATGTTGAAAGTGTTGATCATAAAAATATACGTCTTATGCCAAAAGATTTTATGGTCCCTGATGCACTTGCAAGTATTTGTCATATTATTAGTAAGTATAAAGTTTATCATAATATATATATTTTTTTGAAAATTAATAGTTACACATACTTATATTATCATCCGATTTTACAGATGCAGGACCGACTGACAAAAATGGCCGATATTCTTCTGAAGTAGAGAAAAAAGTCTCTGAAATGTTACTTCCTTCTGCTTGTATTAAAGTAAAAATTGTTGAATGTGATGAAACAGCTGGTATATATAAGGTGGAGTTACCATGACTTTAAAACAAATTGATAAAAGCTATAAAATCAGGTTTATACTATTCAAGAAGTTAACAGAGTTTAGTTAGTATCTTAAGAATACATTTTTGTATTTTAACAATTTACTACTATTAAGCAGAAATTGTTATTTTCTACTTATGTTAGATGTATAAAAGTAACAATTTATTTTTTGAAGACTGTATCGATCTTATTCTTATTAATTAATATTTTATTTCCACGAACTATTATTTTTAATAAGTAATTCTTTATTTCTAAAGAGAAGTTTTATACAACGTTTCAATACAAAAAAGTGTATGTTTATATTTTGTATTACCAAATTGCATAAGTGAAAATAAACACAAAATAAAAACAATGTCCAACGTTTTTAAAATATTAATTAAACACGAAGTCAGGGGTCATGATAATCCTATTTTCCTTAAACGTTCCTTTATTAAAGTCAGTTAATAGGTTATTCAACCATAAATATTTGCATTTGATTATACAGTTTAATCTCTAACCTATTTTACGTCGGTGTGACTAACCTTCCTTATGTCAGTTCGGATGACAGATTGCTGTAAGCAACTGTCTGGTTTAAACAATACGAGGCTTCCAAACAGTATTAGAGAGAATAAATGATGAACGTTCAAATCAGACACCCCTATGAGGGTTTATTACATAAATATACTAATGCTATGAAAGGATGGCAATACCGTTGGTTTATTCTTAGTCCCGAAACTGGTGAATTACATTATTTTCTTAGTGAATCTGAGAAAAATCAACGACCACGATGTTCAATATATTTAGCTGGTGCAGTAATTGCACCAAGTGATGAAGATTCTAATACCTTTACTGTCAATTCTGCTACAGGTATTTAAAATATATTAGCTAATATATAATGAAGTATAGTAGAATACATAGCATTGTTTTATGACCTTAGATAGTATGATCATAAAAATATAATATTTATACATTAATGCAGGTGATATGATTAAACTAAGAGCAACAGATGCTCGTGCTCGTCAGGAATGGGTTGATAAGCTACGAGCTGTTACAGAAATGTATACTAGGGCCATAGCCAGCAGCCATCCTCCTTTACCTCCAAGAGAACATTCTACCAACTCCAATAGAAATCCAGTTGCTAAACTGGAAGTTTTAGATGCTTTTGCTAATTGTCAGGAACAATTAAGTAAAGTGGAAAAACATAATGTTGCATTAGCACAAACTATTGAAAGTTCAAGTTTAAATCTGGATCCTGACTTACTAGTTCTTAAAGCAACAGCGCATACTACATTGCACACATTAAATCAATGTCTTAATATATTATATCAATAGTTATTACAAATTTCATTATTATTTATAAAAGACTTAAAGAAGTTTTTTTATCGGTAATTATCTGAAGTTATCAAGTGCATTTCAATTAATTCATATAGAATTTATTTTAAATCTCTTACTGACAATCCAATTATATGTTCTTCCAAAGTCAGTTATATGGGAGAGTTTGCCTTCTGATTAAAATATTAGATAGAAACAAATAGTTACAATGTTTGTAACACTTTTAAAGATAATTATAATGCTACATGTTAAAGACTTTTCAATACCTTTACATTTAAATTATATAAAGAGATAACGTAATAATATATCTATACATACATTACAACTAGATATAGAGTGCTCTAATTCAATATTATTATCTTAGAAATGAGCAAGTATTTGCGATTATTATGTGTATACAAATTAATAAAGAAAAAAGGTATTCCAATATGCACTTATTAATCACTGAAAGGTACAATGAAGGAAAAATATTGATCTCATTTGTATCATCATTTTTAAAGTAAAAAAGGAAGTAACAAAACTACATGTTCATCTTGGAATAAATGTCAAGGATACGAAATTAGGTGAAGGTGAACAAGTAAGAAACTTTTACCTTGCTTAGAGAACAGATTCGATCAGTTTCAATATAGCGTGATCCACGTAAAGATCACAGGATTTACTCGTCCAATATAAAAATTTACATCTATATAATTGTTAGAATGATTATGATAAAAGATCAAACTGTGTGAAATGGTACAAAAAAGTTCTAAGTTTATGTTGAATCGATGTCTCATGATTATTTCAAATACCGATTATAATTGAATATATAAATTGTAAGAAATAAAACGAAATTTGGAAAGAAATCATGTCCGTTGTATCTGCTTCAGAATTGTTAATTGAAGCAGCAGGCATTAAAATATATATGACAGAAGAAGATACCTTAACTGATTCACCGATTATCGGAAAAATTTGTGTAATGTTGGCAAATGTAAAGGAAGCTAAAGCAAACGACAAATCTTATGGATTTCATCTTACAAAATCAAAGTGGGATCCCTATCCATGGGTAAGCTACGTTGAAACCGGCAGCTTTGCTAATGTAGCCGGGCTCAGGTAAGACTGACCTAAGTCATAAATAATTGTTACAAATTTTATGTATATTCAAACGAAGCGTTACATTATTTTTTAGAGCTGGTGATTGTTTAATAAGTATTGATGGACAAGATTTAATAGGATTAAAAGTAAAGCAGATTGCTGGATTAATTCAACAACATCAACAAGATAATATAAAACTATTTGTGTGGAGGAATATTAATGATGAAAACCAAGACGAATCGGGAATTGCTATAAAAGGACCACTTCCAGAAGTAGCCAGTAAACTTGCAAATGCACTATCTGGAGTTGTGTGTAATTAAATTTTATGAAATAATCACTTTATAAATAATATTAATCATTGTATCTTTTCAGGTACGAGTATTAGAATGTCCAGTTTGTTTGGAAAGTTCACTGCCTCCAGTCTCCCAGTGTGTCCATGGTCACATCATTTGCGTCGAATGTCGTTCAAGGACACCTCGTTGTCCAATTTGTAGAGTAAGATTAGGTCAAGGCAGATGTTTGCTTGCAGATAAACTTCATAAGATATTTCGTGACGTTTTTAATATGAACGATATACCTGCTAACGTAGAACGTCGTACACAAAGTCTTCGAGATCGTCTTTTTGGTAAATGTAAAAAGAAAACGTCAGTACCAGTAACTGGAAAGGATAATAACAGTGTAAATTCAAAAGCGCGTCAGTTATTATTGACTAAATTGTTTCGTATTGGAATGGAGAAAGCTGCTTCAGCAGATAATTTAATAACAACTTCTAATGAAACATTAAATGCGAACAAAGGAAAATCAAGCAATTTCCATGACTGTTTAAATTTACACGATCGTGTAAAATCTGCAAGCACCGGAGAACTATCAAAGGATACAACGAAAAATATTAATGAACCTTTACAAATTTATTCAACTGCAACATCCAGCACTACCAGTTTAATATCAAGTGTATCTGCTACACCTGTTTGGGGAGGTTCTATGAATTCTGTGTCCTCTATGCAAATATCGTGTCCTCTTGCAAAACAAAGTGGCTGTAAAGATATTATAACATCTGACACAGTGTTAGAACATTTAAGCGTAAATCATGAATTACCACAAGTACATTTTTATTCTGTTCACATAAAACTTCCATTTCCACTCCCATTTGGTTCTGAAGCTGTTTATATATTACATTACAGTGAAGATGTTTTTTTCTTTCAGGTATGTTTCCTTAATTTGATAAAAAATTGTTTAATAAGTTTTTATAAGGAAATTAATACTGTAAATTATTGACATGTAGTGTGAACGAGAAATTGTTTGGATAAGTAGTGCCATAGGAGACAAAATTGTATGGGAATGGATTTTACATGGCCAAGGAGAAAACGGTACTGAAATAAAGATGAGAAGAAATGTTGTAAGTCTCGTGAATCCAACGATATTAACACCACAACATATTGCACCTCTGCCAAATACTTTACTGTTGCACACACTGAACATTCAATTAAGAGAATGTCACTCATATGAACAACTGGGAGTATAAAATACATATCTTATCTGAGAAAATAATACAATTATTTATTTATTATTATTAACAAATTTATATTTTAATATAAAAATGTCGAAGTATCACAATGTTAATAAAAGAATACTTAAGTAAATATTAGCATGCATTATAAATTGCATGTAATATAGAAAAGTATAATCCCATGTTAAATCAACATGGAATAAAATGCATTATTAATTAAGGCATGCATGTTAAATTCGTAAGGTATACAAATAGATAACATTAAAACATATAAAATATTTTCCTTTTTTAAGGCACATAAGATCATATGAAAGATAAAATTCATACAAATATGCATCACGGAGTTTTACGTAATATATCGTCCATGTATGGTTTAAAAAATTCAAATTGTCCAGTTCGGGAAGCTTGACCTGCCATAATGTCATATGCATACTTTAATACTGCCAAATAATTTTCTTTGCCAACTATATTTAACTGAACACTGAATACATGAGTATCACACGAAGGCATCATTTTTTTTCCAACTGACATACAAAGTTTTCTTTTCTTTAAATCAGGTTGTGCATCAACTATTTCTGCTTCTTCCTTTTTCTTATCTCTTTTTGGACAACTACAAACTCTAACAGGAAGTCTTCTTCTACCTAATACTTTTCTCTTACGATCTTCTAAAGTGAAAATCAATTCTGTAGGTCTACGATTCATACCAGACGGACAACTATTTTTACATAAAAACTTAAAACCCACTGGCACATACTGTGAACCAGGTTGTGGAGTATGAAGGGGTGTTACTATAGACAAATGTTCATTCCTTTCCTCATACATGCTCATATGATCTGTGCAACGAATAACATGTTTAATTACTCTAGGATCTATATCTCTATTACTTGAATTGTTTGGTGCCATGTGATTATGACACCTTCTAACTGGGTCGCTAGCGTATTGATCTAAACTAAAAACCATGGCAGTACGCAAAAGAAAACCATCTATTGGTGGCTCCCATTTAAATCGCAAGGGTAATGTTTCTTCCATGTTAATGAACACTTTTTTTAATGTCTGAGAGTACTGTATAAAATAAAAAAGACATATTTAAGTCATTAGGATATGTAATAAATTAATAATTTAATTCTATACTTACAACCCAATGTTTACTTGAATCTTGATTAGCCAGAGAAACTTGAAAGTTATGACGACCCGGAAATTCTTCTTTTACTGGAATAGATGTTTCAGGTTGAAAGTACTGTTCATCATCCCCCATTTGTTTTTCTTCTTCTAAATATTCTGTTAAAATTACATCATATTTTTCTTCTACTTTGGTCTCACTTACGTTTTGTGTCCAAAACGCGGGTATAAAATCACTGGGTAATAAAATATGTGTTACACGTTTAAAAAAAAGAGATTAAAATAATACGAATACAAATATTTTGTAATGAAATTATATTTCTTACAGTTCTTTTTCCAGTTCTTTATACTCTTCTTCACCAAGCAGAGCAGATTCTTGTGAATCTGAAAATCCATTCGTATTGGTCATTTTTCGAAATTTATCTTTGCCAACTTTATGTTGCAACAAATCGACAACAAACAAAAATCACGTTGCGCTAAAAAGACGCCATTTGTATCCGCGGGAAAATCCTTTGTTAAGGCGATGCGAGCGTCGAGGCCGAACTCCGAATTCCGCGTTGGTAAAACAGTCAACGTTTCATCGAAAATTAGGCCGAACAGAAACTGATTTAAGCGCCATCTCAATTATCGCATGCTATCAACCCTATCAACTAACGGCATGCTATGCTACGTTACCTTTCGCATACACCTAAATGACACGTGTATGCTACGATAGCTATATGTATAAGTACATAATTAAACAATACTGACCATGCATTCATTATTATTAATTTTCTTTCCGTAAAATTGTAGTTAATTTTCACATCATTCCTCATACCATACCACGAATTTCGCCCCAAAATTTTTTTTTTCGCCCAAAATCACCCAAAAAGATTTTTCTGTCTCCAGGTTGTCCACCCAACGCTTTCGACCGCGCGCCTTCGGGGATGCGTTGGCAGCCCTGCCAACCCCAAACCCCGCGCATTTTTAAATTTTATTTTTCTGTTCTTTGTCCATACTTTTAAATCTTGCACTCGATTCATACTTTTAAAGTCTGCTCATCTTTTTCGCTTGAATCAGTGTGTGTGTGTGTGTGCGTGAGCGTGTGCGTGCGTGTGTACGTGTGTGTATGCGTTTGTGTGACCCCTTTTAGTCGCCTCTTACGACAGGCAGGGGATACCATAGCCGTATTCTAAACCCCCCGAGCCACAGGGGGATGTTTTCAATACACATATTTTTTAGTATACAACAATTATACTATTTTATAAGGATAATGAAGTGGCTTTCAATATCATAGATTTCAAAGGAGTAGGAAATTATACTTCGATTTACTATAAATAATTTGTAGTGAACACATTTCTTGCAGCCGAGTACAATATCTACAATTTATATATTACATGAATTGTGTCACGTTATTTTATGGCGGGAATAACATGTGGCGCGCCACGGTAATGTACGTCAAATGCATGAAACAAACGACTCCAATATGGCGAATGTGAGGGACAGTGATACGTCGTTGTGGCTTCATAACAAGCTTGGAACGTCAAATGATAGCTGGACGGGAAGTTCAATTTGTTCGCAACTTAACGCAGAAGTACTACGGAACATTAAAGATTGTTTTCCAGACCTTCAAACACAAGTTAAACTCAAATTACTTCTTTCATTTTTTCACATACCAAGACGGAATGTCGAGGAGGTAAAGCAGTTTGTTTATTGCAAGTATTTTAGGCGCGTGAATTTTGAAGAACATTTTTTTTAACATACAAATGAAGAAATTTGCAATGACAATTTTAATAGAAAACGTTTTATTATATTTTTGTACGCATTATAGACTCGTCTCTTTATTTCAACATTATGTTTTTGAAATGTTTAGTAAATAATCGTGTATACTATGGCCAATATTTTGTACACAAGGGAATGGTATTTAAATTTATAAATGGTAGTTGGTGCTTTTAAAAATTGAATGGCTGATAAGAATATTACATATTGTATTCTAAACATGTTTTTATAATTTGGATTTATAATCTGTAATTCTAATAAATTGTGTAGTGGCGCGTTGAGTTGGAAGAAATCATTGAAGTGGCATCATTGGATAGTGAATTATGGGTGTCAATGTTATCCGAAGCGATGAAAACCTTTCCATCAACTGGTTCTTTAAATACAGACATCACAGATCTAGATGAACATAGACCTATTTTTGGAGAGCTAGTCAATGATCTTCGAAAGCTATTGAAAAAGCAAAATGATCCAGCTATGCTTCCATTAGAATGTCATTACCTTAATAAGACTGCGCTTACATCAGTAGTTGGTCAACAACCTGCACCAGTTAAACACTTTACTTTAAAGAGGAAACCAAAAAGTGCTGCATTAAGAGCAGAGTTGCTTCAAAAGAGTACTGATGCAGCTAGCAATTTAAAAAAGAGTACTGCTCCTACAGTGCCTGTAAGAAGTAGAGGAATGCCCAGAAAAATGACAGACACTAGTAAGTTTACATGTATAATTATTTTATTCTATTTAATAAGAATAGAAGAAAAGTTATGTTACAACATTACGCATGGTTTTCAGCACCTTTAAAAGGTATTCCTAGTAGAGTTCCCACAAGTGGTTTTCGATCTCCATCTCTCACAAGCTCCTCGATGTCTACAAGGACACCGCTCAGTAACAGAATGCGTAAAGATGGTGGTATTAAACTATTAGATATTAATGAGCAACCTTTAGGATATGCTCAGGCAAAGAAACGAAAGAGAATGATGGAATTAGAGGAGCAACAGAAAAAGGTTGCAGAAGCTCAAGCAGCGGCAGCTGCTGCTGCAACAACAACAACTACTACTACAGAAACATCAACAACTCCAGAATATGCTCAAGGATTAACTTCAATCAATCCACCTGCAACTCCAATTACTCCTGTTGTATCTGTACAGTCTTATGCAACACCTACTACTCCAAGCGGAGTATCAGTAGTAACTACTCCAGTAACTCGTATGTTTACATATATATGTAGATAATATCGTTAGTGTGCGTTATGTATGAAAAATATTCAATTTATATTACACAGCTACAACATCAAGTACACCTACGACACCAAGTACAGTTTTACCTGTTGCAACACCAACTGTCATTACACCAGTTGAAAGTACACCTGTTGGAGTGCAAACGGTCAGACCACCTCAAACAGTTACGCAAATTCGTATACAAACCACCGCACAACCTGCTAACGCAGCTGCAAATACAAGAAAGGGTCTTTCTCTTACGGTATGTGAAAGCACTTACGATATAACAAGAAGTATCAGAGGAAATATGGAAAATCATTCATTTATTTATTATACTTTCAGCGCGAGCAAATGTTAGAAGCACAAGAGATGTTTAGAACAGCCAACAAAGTAACTCGTCCAGAGAAAGCTCTTATATTAGGTTTCATGGCAGGATCTAGAGGTATGTGTTTACTTTTGCAGTTACCGAATATCTTTCAATGTACATAAGGTTAATCGTGACTATTATTGTTCGAATAGATAATCCATGTCCAAAACTTGGTAACATAGTCACGGTAATGCTTTCGGAAAACATAGAAGAAGTGACTCAACCAGACGGAACAACCGTACCAATGTTAGTTGAAACACACTTCCAAATGAATTACACAAATGGCGAATGGAAGAGGATAAAAAAAAATCGACGAATCGTTACAGAGGAATCTACGTCTACTACAACACCTGCGCCAACTGCAACTGCTACGGCTTCCAATTAAAGAACAGAGAAAGAAATTGTTGTCAAATTATGGTTACATATGTCAATATTTCTGTCGCTGTTTGGATGGTGATTTTTTTAAAAATTCAGTTTCTATGGATAGAGGAAAAATTTCAGTACGCATGGGTACTGTACGCGGTCTGTGTATCCTGTATAAAGTAAATAGATTTGTATACAATGTTTCTCTAACTAAGCTTGGAAATACGATCGTACTGTATCGATCAAAGTAAGCTTCCATAGGGAAAATGACGATATAGAAGGAGCAGGAATTTTTAAAACCTTAATTTTGATGATATTATTAAAATAGTAATTATAATCATTATTAAAAGTACATGGGGTCCTCCACCTCATCGTCCTCCCGGGAGGATCTAGACCCTGGAAGCCCGAGAAAGGGGAGGCCTCCGAAAAGGATCCGGAACTCGGGTACCCGTGCAAACCTATGGGAGTCCGGGGCATTGCCATTTTCCCTGGGGAAGCCTACCATGCTCAGTACTGTACAAATTAAAATTGCAACGTTGAAAACGGAAAAAAGTTATCACCCTAAAGATACATGCAAGGAGCAATTGTATACTTTATTTTCATTCTTCAAAATCAAAGTGCGACCGAGTAACGGACTTGCATTTTTTTCTTTTTTTAATTGGAGGTAACGTTTAATGTCAATCTCAGTTTAGTTTCAAATGTTAGAAATAAAAATCGATTTCTAACGCGTATCTGGTTTCACCAACAATGAATAAATTTTCTAATCAGTTATTATTTAATTAAAGAGTTAAATGCTGTTTAACAATGAATAGTGTGATATTTCGCATTGTAGGAGAAACCAAACATTTTTAATTTAAATGTAATGATCGTAAGTTGAATTTATATATATATATATAAAAAAAGTATATAAACTTATAACATTGTTATTTGAATAAAATATGGTTTTATTGACTAATTTTAAATCTAATTAAACGCTCCTCACAGCCTGATATCTCGATGTATTATCGATACTGTTTCGATACGATAGATAGATATATCGAAGTATTTTCGATTCCATTCGATTCCAAAGTTCGACCCTTCCCCAATATTTTTCAAGAAACGCAATTTTAAAAAAGGCAACTGCTGATATTTAAGAATCTCTTTTTAATAAATTAATAAATAAACATAAGTGAAGTTGAAGCAAACATTATGTTATCAGAGGTTTTCTGCATTGTCTTTTATTAAAATGTTCTACTTGTATGAAAAGTGAGTTATATAACCTTTACGAGTGTTGAACGCAAAAATCTTTGTGTTCAATATTCACTGTTCAGAGGAGTAATTCTGCAATTTCTAAGAGTGACACTTTTTTTCTATTTGAATATTTTTGTGTGGGCGTTTATCAATAATTCGTATATTAATAATGCTTCGACTACTAGTGTCTTTGAGCCCTCGAGCTTGTAAAGCGGTAAGTTATTTAACCTAAGAAAGGTAACGATTTATTTAGTTTATTGGAACGCGTGAATCGTGAAAGAGAAAGATTTTTCAAAGTTTATTTTTCCTTTTAATTAATGTTTATGCAGTCGTAAGTATAATTATATGCATGTTACATTTACAGGTCTTTACCACAGCATCAACTTCTGTGAATACTAGGAATCCAATATTGTTAGAACATGCTCGTAACTTTTCCTTTAGTTCCAAGCTTCTTTCTGATCGACCACAGGTTCAGAAACCTGCACCAGATTTTTCTGGGACTGCTGTAGTCAATGGTGACTTCAAAGAAATAAAACTGAGCGACTATAAGGGAAAATATGTTGTTCTTTTCTTTTATCCCTTAGATTTGTAAGTTGTCAATTTATAGTAGTTAAAAATTTGCCGCTATTATTTTGAAAATAATCCTAACATTTTATTTGTAGCACATTTGTATGCCCCACTGAATTAATAGCGTTTAGCGAAAAAATCTCAGAGTTCAAAGCTTTAAATACACAAGTGATTGGAGTTTCTACAGATTCCCATTTCAGTCATTTAGCATGGATTAATACATCAAGAAAACAAGGAGGATTAGGTGGAGATTTGGGTTATCCTCTTCTCAGTGATTTCAATAAAGAAATATCAGCCAGATACAATGTCCTCATTCAAGATGCTGGAATTTCCTTACGAGGTCTATTCATCATAGACAAAGAGGGAATATTGAAGCAACTTAGTGTAAATGATTTGCCAGTGGGAAGAAGCGTGGATGAAACATTGAGACTAATCAAGGCATTCCAGTTTGTTGAAAAACATGGAGAAGTTTGTCCTGCCAATTGGCAGCCAGATTCTAAAACCATCAAGCCAAATCCAAAGGATAGCAAGGAATATTTCGAATCAGTAAATTAAACGTCGACTGTGAATTCTTTTTTACGAACAAATATTGTATAATGCATTGTAATGTAATATAATATAAGTAAAATATTAATAGAAATACCTGAAATATCATTCTTTCTTTCTAATTTTCATTTATTTAATTTTTTAAATCTTTTTTTTGGTCATACGTTGCATGGATGTGCACGCAATCGAGTCCATCATAGGGTAAGATTATTGTAGCAAGGGCGAGGGTATACTCGGTCTCTTCAATCAAAAGCAAAGAGCACAAGGGTTTGTGGTGGCCGGATTGAAAGTAAGAGGGAAAGAAAAAGGTACGTAAACGCTCGTATGTACACGAGTGATGTAAAGGATTCTAGAATGGAATCTGGAGAAGCATCACAGATGGGGAACGGTAATCTTATGCTGGTTAATTTGATTCTTTGTGGCAATGGAAGTATTAACGACGAGTCGAATCTCTGCAAGTCTATTCAGGATTACACTTATTCTATCACATTTCCAATACAAAAGCACTTCCCCTCGGACTAAAGTATAAAGAGGAACAGGAATATAATAATACAGTAATTTTTTATAATACTAAATTATTTTAGAACAACTCCATTATCCAGTTTATATTTCTCTGTTCAACGAAGTTTTATGATTTTAAATTGAGAAACTACTAATACTAAGGGAACTTAACTTTCTTGATCAGATGAAAACACGATGCTTTTAGTAATTAAAAGGCAATTTCTCACCATCACTGGCAATACTTGGCGCCATCAAAAAGGATCCCGTTTCTCGAACCAGGGTGCACGCGATGAATTTATAAGAGAGAGCTTATTATTTCCGCGAAGAAGATACCAATGCCGGTGACGCCCCAAAGGAAGGGATAAAGTAACCAGAGATGAGGTCCGGGGTGACGGACGGTATAAGATATAGAGTGGGAAGCGAGGAAAAACTGAAAAGCGACGCCCGAGATAAACGGCTCATCCTCTTTCGCCCTACAAAATCCAATCCTGTCCTTTGCGAGTCGAAATCTCAAGATTAAACATATTCAAGGGACGACGGAGCCGAGGACGTGTCTCTAAAGCGTCGTAAATGAAATTTCAGAGATCGAGGCGTTACACAGTCGGGCAAACGAATATCAACGAAACGCGTTTCCCGTCTATCGTCTGAATGATTAAAAACTCGAAACACGTGTTCCCTATTTTTCACCACTCTTTTATCTGCCCTTTTTGTTTTCCCATTTGGGAATGCGTAAATGCACACCAAGCATCGGAGCGCATAGACGAAAAGCTGAGAATTTCGATTTTTCACGTATGCCTTTATCATCGTTACCACGTGTTTTCTACCGCGATAGTTTCCTTTTTTTTCGGTTTTCAAGCTGAAAAATCGGGAATACGAACGTTGAAATCGCAGCACGTCGGGAACTATCGCAAAAAAGCTTACGGATTAAATTGCAACCACGATAACGAGACAAATTCTTGTTTCATCGATTCCCGCGCTTCGTTCTTCGAACAAGTTAAATCATTGTTTTGTGTATTTTATTTGAACGTAACGACTATTGAATCTCTTGCACGACGATATCGTCGGCAATGCCCGTTCGATTAAAAGCGAGCGTGGATTATGTCGTCGCGAGGCGGACGGATTTTCCTGCCCTAATCGACTTCCTAGTCTATCGCCACCGGTTTGTTCTTCCCCCGCGATTGTTGGAGCTGCAACCGTACGGCTTCTCGTTCTAATTGCTCCTCTTGTTGTTCGGTAACTAACGCTTAAACCACCTAAACATTTGTCTCTGCTTATTTACACCGTAATTAATACATATTCGATTTCTATCGAAGGTAAAGAAAAACCTTGTTCGCGTTAATGGTAACAAATGTAACTTCGTTAGTCTCTGCGACCTATACAGCTTTATCGAAAAAAAATAGGTAAAGGAGAAAAAGGGAAGAATAATATCCAAGTATATAACCGATTGGTTATTGTTGCCCGAGCGATCGAAGCGAGTGCGATCGTCAAAGAGCATCCTCTATCGTTTCTCGTGAAATAGAACCTCGGGACGTTTGAGCATCTTTCGCCTCTCCACCCTCTTTTCTCTCCATCTCGTTCTTTTCACTCCTGCCACGTAGGGGTGGGACGGTCTAATAACCTCCCAGCTAGCGACTGCTCCGCGAAAAAGGAACATTTTCTTAAAGGAGCATTCAGAGCGCGGCTTGATAGGTGGATATTATATAGTAGCTGGGGTTACCCTCGCTGACTCGACGCAGGCGGAGTTTGAAGAGGAAAGGAGGGAAACGCGGTGGCGCGGCCACGAAAACGAGGAGACACAGCAGAGGGGTTGCCCGGTGGGGGCAATGCATCCATCCATATCCATCCCGGGGTGGCTACTGGGGCTTTGATTACTTGTTTTAATCTTCCGACTGCCGACTGGGCGAGCATCTGTCACTCAAAATCCGTAATTGCGCGCGGTACCGTTCTTCCATCCCTCCCTTCTACCGTTCCCAGTCCTTTCCTGGCCCGTCCATGTCGATGTTCCTAGGGGTTGGGAGGGAGGGAGGGCGGTTTCTCTTGCTTTGAGCATTGCTATTACTTCCTTATTGCTCGTTTAGCACTTTCACGCTGGCTTTCCGGTTACGGGCTGCCAGCGTATTCGGGGTTGATCGGCTAATCGGATTAGCCGATGCTCTCCTGAAATTCCACCTCTGCTCGTGCACTGGCATCCTTTTTTCTTTTACCGATTCCATACTCCTCTCACGATTTCTACCCGATTCCCGCGTGTTACCTTCTTTCAGGCTCGTTCGTTACTAGAAATCGCCGAGGGTCTTTGAGCTTTTGCCGTGAAGTTCATTCGGGATCGCCGATGCGGAAACGCTCGATCAATTCGTTGATTCAAAGCGAAAAGAATTACCTGCAAAAGTCGTCAAGCGGAGATGGTAACGAAAGAATTAAACAACGCGTTTCAATTTCATCTAAAACGAAGAGATGATTATCTAACGAGGGATATGCATTTGTGCGCGTTCAGCAGCGGTTAAGGAAAGTAAAAAAAAAAAAAAAAAAAGAATGAGAAAAAATCACTCGGTTGGGTATTAAATGAACGAACCCCCGGTATAGCTACACCGTCCGACGAGGCATCACCGGCCCACCCTATCCACTTACCGCACGAATGGACGAGGTGGTCATCAGATCGATGAAAAGAGATTCGCGACACGCCAGGGTCGTTCTCGTTGCACGTTAAAACTGCAACCGGTATTGGCGTATGCGTTAGCCGGTACGTAAAACGAAGCCAATCGGACCCTGTTCGGGACGAAACTACCCAGCGTGATCTAATTGTATCCACTCAAACCCGATCAAAACAATGGTATACATGTTGAACCGTTAGTTAAATGTGTCTTTGTGACTATTGCCCTTCTGCCTAGTGAATTAAACAATAAACCCGGTGTTTTGGTATTTACGTTCACGTGCCATTGTGTCTGTTTAACGTATCTGTCAAAGCTCACTTAATGGCGTTGTTAATTGAAATTGGATTTTCAAGTTTAGATAATTGGCCCGGGGCCATTATTTCGCTATAAG